GTACAAATAGGACTCCATGTTCTGCTGGTGACTTTGAAGGCCTGATATTATCTTTAGCTAGCTGGTTGTTAATATATTCTTATAGTGCCTGCGATTTCTTTTTAGATATTAGATAAATCTTTTTATATATCAATGACTTTTCTTTCTTTATAGAAATAATATGGTTATGCTTTCTGTACTGAGATAATTCAGATTACTCTAGCTACTTGAATAAGTTCTTGAATCTCTTATACTATGGTAGAATCTGCGCGTTACTCTTAACTGTAGCTAGAAGTTTCCATGAATCTTCTAGTCTTTAGATAGTTATCTTGATCTCTGTGTTAGAGCTGTTAATACTATACTTGTAATACTTTTCTATTATTGTTGGTATCTATTCTGATAATTTCATGAGCTAATCTTTCTATGATGGCTTAGTTGCTGTTATTACTTATATAACTATACTTAAGGTACTATTTTCCTTTAAGTTATTTTCAATGCCTGGCATGTTAGGCTTTTGTGACAATCTTAACCTTCTCTTGCTAGATTGTTTAGTCCTTGCTTCAGCTTCTTGCTGAGTAGTGGGCTGTACGGATCCAGATCCTATATCTGGTCCTTGCTGATATTGTCTTGAACAATCATAATTTATGAATTAGAGATTCTCAGTCTTTCAATCAATCTGCGGGTTATGATTCCTGAGTTATAAAATTTCTAACATAATATTATACTATCTTAAAGATATCATATCAAAGTCTATATACTTATAATGATTCTTTATAATTATAAGTATTAGTCCTGACTTGATTATTAACGCGAGAGTTCCCAAATTCTCTCTATTTAATCCTGTAATTAGTTCAGGTTCTGCTTTCTATTATCTGAGTAACTTAAGCTGTTGTATAAATCATGGGTCCATGAAGTTCCCTATTGCTCCAGAATCTACCAGTACTTGGGCTGATTAATCTAATATAATTGCTTGGATTTTCAGATATAGCCCTGACTTTGTGATTACTAACTGCTGTTCCGGCCAGTTAGATTCTAACTATTATGGATATTTTCTTGAAAATCTTGAGCCTTTTATCTTTACTACATAGTATATTATACACTGATTATTGAAACATGCTAGTTAATATATTGATCTATGGTAAGAGTGTCTCTAATACTCTTTACACGCGTATCTAAAGATAGAATATAGATAGTGGCTTATCTTATTTCTAACCACTTCCAGTACCTTAGGTCGGTAGTTAGTAATGTATTTCTAATCATGATATATTAAGCATATATTTGTATAGCATACAAGTCAAAGAAGTTTATCATGTCTTTAATAATCTTTACTTTCTTTAAAATAAACGCACAGACATGGTTTGTTGTATTAAGGCTCTGTTCTAGCAATGTTTATCTTCTAGCTAATCTCTAACAACTGATAATAATAATCTATATTATCTTATCTATATGTTAAACAAACTTCTGGATAATAAGGGCATCTCCGTAAATATTGCTTCCAAGTCTTATTTTATGATTTTCAATATTTTAAATCCCAATATGGGCAATGCTGCATGATTATCTTAAGCTTTAAATAAAATTATACTGGATTCTCCAAGATCTTTTTCAAAGTACGGTCTAATTAATAAGTAATATTCTTTTAATTGTTCTTCTAGTTCTCCTTGTTCTCGTCTCACTGTGATAAACAGAGTTTATTAATTTTTGATAGAGGTTTTTTAAGGGTATCGGGTATCTTGCTGAGTCTTTTCTTACTGGATTCAAGGCCTTTAAGCAGTGTACTATACTCTTTGTCCAATAGTTTATCTTTATTTTAAACTATACTGGGATAGTTGTTCCTTGGAACTGGTTTATAACTATTATCATTGACTTCTGTGGTCCAAACTAATGATATAGATAATTATTAATTCTCTTATTAATTAGATAGTACTGTTAACTTATCCAGGGTGGCCTATTGTCTCAACTGATCATGGTGCGTCCTATTCTCTAACAGCTAATCATGCTGAATAATATATAATTTCTTGTTACCTGGTGTCTGTGTTATGGATTCTGTCTAAACCTTATACTGAATGGTGGTGATATTATAGACTTCTCTGTCTTGATCTTGATTTATAGCTCTCAATTGCTTCTGAGGCTGTTTCTGACTACAGTCCTTTGACTGGTGACCTGCTTTGCTGCAGCTGAAGCATAAGCAGTCTTGTTTGCGCTGTTTGAGTTCTTTCTTAGACACTTGAGTCTCTTGAGTCTGATGTTGTGCTGTATCTAGCTTCATGAGTTTTGGCCCGTAGAGATCTTTGTATCCTAAGCTTCTAGGTTGTGCTGATCTTCTGTTGTTGACTCGGTAACCTGGCTGGTTATTGTGTCAAGATATAGACCTGCTGGTCTACCGACTTTCTTATTATTTTATATTAAAGTTGTATAATTTATTATCGATCTTCACAACTGTTTTAATCATCTTGGCCAAGGTATCCAGTTATTCTTGCTAAATAATCTTTTCTTAGATCTCTATCTTAAGTCTTTCTTTAAATTGTGAGATATAAGTATTATTATTCTAGTCTAGATAACTGATGACTTGCTAAAACTCTGAAATATATGTAAATACTGATCCTGTCTACTTAAGTTGTTATAACTTTCACTCAGCATTTCATGCTGTATCAATATCTCTGAATATCTATTTAAGACATTGTTTAAATCTGGTATAATTAACAAAAAATTATTTTGTATCATTATTTTAATTACTTATTAACTTCTCTTATCACTCGCGGATATATGGTTTAAACTAATTAAATACTGCTCTGGTAAGGTAAGTAAATATGAAAAAGATCTTATCCTTCTTATTTCTGAGTCTTTCTTTATTTATGTTAAGGTATAAGTCTAACTGGGTTAAGAAAGCCCTGAGCCTCGCTTGTTTGCTGTTAAATGGCTCGGGTAGTCAGACCTTAACAGACTTAACTAATAAGCAATCTTTAAGTAACTGGTTCTTTTGTTCTAAGGCAGTGACGCTTTCTTGTAGCTGACTAACCATGTCCATTAGTTCCTTGGTTATCAGGCCCTGCTGCTGAGGCGCACGTGATGTATTCAATGTAGTCGACATGATGATTAGTTATCACTGGATAACACTCATACTGACTGGTGCTCAATGTGTCAAACCCTAGGATCGCTTCTCCCTGTTTCTATTAGCTTAGCTCCTGTTCCGATACGTACCTTATGAACTGAATCAAAGATAGTCAGGCTGTTGACTATCTAAAAATGACTTGATCTGAATAAGAGAAGAGAAGTAAGGCCAGATAGTGCCGTGCAGCTATCCGTAAGTAAGTGCGGACGAGTGTTGTTGTTAAGCTTCTACCAAAACATAGGTTACTTAAAGATAATTAGAATTGAGCATGAAGAACAGAACTAACTAAATATATGAAAAAGTGTTCTTATATATCCGTTCCCCGTATACCGTTTCATATACCATCGGGTCTGTCGTATACCCACTTAGTAGTCATAGACCATGATGGTATGTTGTATACCACATGCTTGTCTGTATACCATGGTCACGTGATCCGTGCTGCCTGACGGTTCGGGTCGGGATCCTCCTTGATAAGAGTCCCCTTCCGTCCGGATGTGGCCTTCTGCCTGTCATACCCGCCTTACTAGTCGTTCAGCTAGCAGGGGTCCGTAACAAAGTATTAGAAAGAGTTAAAAAAGTACTCACACCATACTCTCTGGCAAAGCATACTAAACATGTAAAGATTAATATTTCAAACCCTAGAGATATTATTATCTTTTTAATTTAATAACATAGTAAAGTAATATAATAAAGTAATACAGTAGAAATAAAGCAGGCAGGAAGATATATATATAGTAAATAGAGATTAGCAGTAGAGTAAGATAAAAGAGTAATAATACAGATATATATAATAATAATAAGAAGGTAATACAATCAAGAAAGAAGTAAATAATTAAGGAAGAGATAATATAATCAAGAAAGAATAACAATATAAAAAAAGAATAATAATATAGAGAAAAAACAACAACACATATATATCTAATAGCAATAAAGAGATAATACAATTAGAAGAGAAAAAAAATAAGAATATATAGAAAGAGAATATAAAGATATTATAAAGATTAGTATAAAGTATATATATATATATATAACAAATAAACAGAAAATAACAGAAAAATAAAGGTATTTAAATAATTTATACAGGAGACTATAATACCTACAGAAATAAAAAGAAGAAGTATGTATATAGCAGAAACAGGATTACTATAACTATCTATATACATTAACCAATGAGAGACAGAATAAACACGAGCTTTGCATTTTTAGGAAAACTAGTACATTTTGACACATACACATATATATATTTGGCAGGTAAGAAGAAAACAGCAAAAAAGTAGAAGTATACAAATGGTTTGTACAGGGGACTGTAATACCCGCAGAAGTAGAGAGAAGAAATATATATATAGCAGGAACGGGACTACCGTAGCTATCTGTGTATGTTGATCAATGAAAGGCAGAATAAACGCGAGTTTTACATTTTTGGGGGAACCGGTATATTTTGACTACCATCCCTTTCCCTGATATCCCTTGTTCTCAATCTATCTGGGCTTATTGCTGCATACTTCATTGATACCGCATGATACTGCGGCAAACGCCGGCAGAGTCTGACAAATTGGATTGCTTGCGGAATGCACCCGGACTACTATTGAGATGATTATTGTTCTCTGATGAACTTCCTCGGACCCCCGCGATAGCGGAATAGGAAGGATACCCGAGCTAAGATGTAACATGGCATGATTGGGTGCCATTGTTCGTCCCATTCCGAGGGTCCCTGGCCAGGTTGGAGCCACTTGGAAGGTAACGAGCGTCATTCCCTGGTTGTGGAGATACATATATAAGTCGTCTTGCAGTCTGAAGGAAAGGTAAAATAGCAATTCCTTCTGCTATTTCCTCACACTGTTGTCCATAACATAAATCTGTTCTTCAAGACGCTCCGCATATGTGCGCATTGTATTGCACACTGCTTTCCAAGATGTCGTGGGAAGTGACCTTTTTCAAAGTCCGGTCCGTCACGGGGGGTGCAGCGGCCCTCTATGCCAATGGGCAGATGCAAGTCCCCGTGATTGTCTCTTTCAAAGCCCTCGATACCACGAGAGACATGTTTCACATGTTCATCTAGTCGGAACTAGAATCAATTCAGCTTGTGGATTATTACAGTACTACAACTGTACTTAATGAAACGTGGTTTTATTTATTAAAGAGAATGAATTTGCCCACACCATGCCAAGCTCGCGGAACCCTGACCAGCCCGTCCTGGATGATGAGGCTTAGCACATCTACTTCTGACTTTCAATAACCAAGATTAAAAGCAAGAGTATTGCTGCACGCATTACCCAGCTGAATAAGACTATTGTCACCACCTATAGTAATTCCTATGATTCTCGTGTTATAGCTACTGCTTACCAGCCTCTCACCTACATGATAAATGATGTGACCATGGTGTAAGAGGTTATGAAAGAAGGGACTTTTAACATGATATGATACAGCCTGTATAGTATATCTAGACGGTTGGATCAGGATAACTATTATATCATGTCTAATCGCTATCTGGTTATGAAATCTGATTATTATAACTACAGTGCTATGTGGGAGGATCTCACCGCGGATGCTGATTCGGTCTATCTGTCATACAGCTGGACTTATCTTCCCGATAGTAAGAATTGCTGGATATTTTTGTTTTAGACCCTGGCTTACAGTAGTATATATGGCAACTGTATGGGTTTAGATATTGGCCTCAATAGAAAAGAGACATTTTCAAGCTATTATATTGCTATTCTGAGAGTCTATATAAATCTAAGAACCAATGTATTTTATCTTATCTCTATATACTTTTGGGGTTATGGTAAAGTATAAGGCAGTGACTGGTTAAAATAAGCATGCTTCCAGCTTTATGATCTGTATAGCAACTTTCGTGACTTCTACCTATAGGCTAATGGCAGGAATACCATCTCTATCTATAACTATCTGTTAAGAAAGGGAGAAGTAACTGAGGAGGATGGACCTATTACTAAGCTCTGATCATGCAGAATGGTCTAGTCAATATAACATACATCAGGCCTGTAATAGTGTGATTGGTATTCTGTTTCTAGTATTCTACTGATTTTGGATTACCAAGTTATGCAGGGGTCCTGTAGGGTTCAATCTCTGTTAGGAAATGGTCTCTCTACTTCTAATTTAAAGAGATAATGTGGTTGCCATGTTTCAAACCTAAGATTATTAATTAAACTACGGTACCGTGTTGTGTAACCGCTTACTTTTAAACATACTAATTACTATCTGGCTTATAAATAAGATGCTAAGATGAAATATAAAGAGGACTTTCTTGTAACAGAGAGGAAATATAATAATCACCAGCAAACCTATTTAAGATTATATTAGTTGCTGTTATTATTCAGTTAGATAGTGGGTTCTAGTAATATATCAGAATATGTTTCCTCCTCTTTATTAAGTTGCCTGTAATGACTGGGTTTATTATCTGATTCTGATACTGTGTTCAAGAACCAAGAAATAATAAGATATATAAAATCAAACTATAGGAAACTTCTCTCTAAGTATAATATAAAGTTATTTAACAAGATTCATTATTTCTCTTGATAAAGAGACCGCTCAGGGTGATAAGTGGTAATCTATAGTTACTGATTCTATGCCTTCTTGCTATAAATGGAAATAATAATAGTAAGAGCCTGTCCCGTGTTTACAGGGCTAATATATGATTAATATTATCCATCTTTAAATAATTTATCTTCTTATCTGCCTGACAGTAGCTTCGTGACTTTGGATTTAATAAACAGAGTGATCTGGGGATAGACAAGAGATAGTATTAATAAAAAGAAGAAAATAAAGAAAATAACAGCAGATATGATATTAATATTAGAAGACTAGTTATATATAAAGAAGCATGTTCGGCAGCAACTCCTGATCATCTAGTTAGGATTGTATCTATATAAGTAGCAGTCATGATCATTATCTATCTTCTTCTCTTTATTATCTTTACTTTAACCACCAGCACTATCTTCTCAACTCAGAATAAAGATGCCTGTTACATTAACCACTACTAATATTATGGTTAAGTGATGGACTTCCTGTAAAGTAGATACTGCCAAGGTCCTTTTAAAACAGGCATGTTCTGAAAATTATTAGAAGAGCAAATATATTTTCCAGAGCTCTTTTACAGGTGAAAAGCTCTTGACAGATCATATTATCCTGTCTAAGAATAGCCTGGTGTATGTTACTTGGGATGCATATCAACGCTATCATTATCTTACCCTGCGACCAGATGATGTGTGGTTAATAATTTTTATCTGATTGAACTTTTATATTAACGCCTATGCCAAGGAGCTGCGGTCATATTTTATTATACATGAAGGACGGAGGGAACTTTTTGTTGATACTGTAGGGATCCTGGAAAGCGCGGACTATGGCTGAATCTCTCTCTGCATGACCGAGCACATTGATCAAAACATCTTGGATCCCATGTTCTGGGTGTGGTTTATGCTGGCTTTTAATACCACCACAGAGACTGACTGGATCGTGGCAGTGGTCCTGATGATGGGGACTTACAATCATACTTCTCCTATATGTGCGGTAGCTGCTGTGGAATTCCCCGGGTGACCCTGCTAGGAGAGCGCGACGACTGGGAGCAGATGGTGCACAAGTTGGCCAATCCCCGAATTGGGGGAGCAGCCGGCGAGGTTCGCCTGGCTGCTCCGACCGGTCTTGGAGGGCTTCGTGACCTGCTTTGACAATCTGTTAAAGGAGTGGGTGGAAGAGTTCTAGGATACGTGTGTTTATCAAGACTTCCGCATGAGCAGCGTGGACTATCTTGCTGGATGGATCACTGTCTTCTGCTTCTGGGATTACTGGGGGTGGCAGGTCGCTAGTTGCTGCCCGGGGCCCTATAAGAAGAGGGACGTTGAGTTCCCTTAAATCAATATTGCCGATATTCCCAGTGCCTATGCCTCGGTTCTCTTGACATGGCGGGAGCAAGATGGCACCGAGTATGCCACCGAGCTGGTTGCCGGGGTGGTGGGCATCCAAGCCAGCCTGAGTCTGCAGACCCGCGAAGCTGCTGCTGCTGCTGCTGATGCCCGGCCGGACATGATTCAGCCTGCTCCCGGCTGGTGGGTGTATGAGAAGAAGTGATCAGCTTTTAGCTGAGTGGTTAGTGCATAATGTGAGGGAAATTCTCTGCTATTTGTCAAACTATTTCCAGGTTTAATAGTGGTTCCCCGGCTTCTTTAAGGTAAAGTATCCATTGATAGGAATTTCGTATTTTAGATGGTCCCAAGATCAAAATATGAACACGCATGGCGTGACTGTTTATATAATAAAATTTTCCTGTCTTTTATCTATAATAGTTTCTTTAATCTAAAGTAATACTAGAGAGAGTCCTAGTTGATATATACTATCCCAGGCATGTTTATGTAGTTTAAGATTATTAAATTATAGTCTACTTTATGAATTGACTTGGGATATATTATTTCTCAAAGTAAAGCTAGTAAGTTCTAATAAAATGAATAATATTCTATTAACATAGAGGGGTAACCAGCACCATGACTTACATATTTTTTAAGACTATACTACATTTATTAAAATAAATAAAATTATAGAAGTAGATATTAACATCTTTCCAGGTTCTAATTTTAATTACTTTATAAGTTAGCCTTTGATGATTAGCACTAATTATAACATCATCTGCTTAATTATAGATCTATCATCCAGTATATCCGTGGCATTGGAGATCTTATCTAAACCGACATAATATATAGTATTTATAAAATTAATAATAGCTTGGGACTTGGAATAGATTAAACATAGATATTTAATATCTAGCTTGCTACTTACCAGGGAAATATATATTAAATTGATTAAAAGATTGCTGTATAATTAGTTGAAAGAATCTTTTAAATGTTAAACACCCCATGATCACAGGGCGGCAGCTAACTGTTTTAGGTCCTCTCAGTATGTGCGTGATAGTCTAGAGTCTATCTTACTAATTTAAGCAATTTATATAACGCAAACTATATAGGGCAATAATATAAGGCATAGAATGAACAGCTTCTCCAAGGGGTCAGTATTAGTTTAATCACTTTCATCATCCATGAACATGTCGCTGCTATCCTAAGTACCAGATAACGGTTCTACTGTCTGGAGAACTACTGCCCCCTGTTAAGCTTGCCACCAGATTAGCGCCAAGATATGGCACAGTGCGGCTTCTCTTCCTCTAGGTGACTGAAGGCTGAACCATTTCGTGCTATGTATATAGGCAAACATGTTGCCGTCTCCACGGTCAAGCACAGACTTCTGGGCTGTTTCGCTATCTGTATCAAGATAGTCCTTATATTTAGTGCTGAATTTAAAGTGGAGAAACTATATAAAGATACTGGCCCCGACAATGAGGAAAACACTGCCAGGATGGATTAGCGGGAGTGAACCTGATGTAAGGGACCTTAATAAGATTGTTATTCTTGCTTTAGTGATTCTCTGTTTGTTTTCCATGCAACTAATGCTTTACTGAGGTATTGGGCCAGTGTCTTGTTTGATACTCTGGGCATCGGCCTCCCGGTGCGTTTGTCGGTATACATGAATCTAAATGCTCTCTTGGCTTTAAGCAAGGCCAAGTACGGATGTTGCGTAGTCCAGCCTAGGTTCTCCCGAACCATCCCACAAATCCCACCATCGTCCTCTGCTGTGATGTTGTTGTTCTGGCCAGCTATACGGACTGTTGAGGCCTGACGCTCGTTGCGCAATCGCACTTTGCAGAATCCGCTCGAGTCCTGCACCAGACAGAGATTGAGGGCAAACTAGAGGAAACAGAGTAGTAGGTGTACTGCCACCTTCTCAGGCTTGCTCCGTTGATTATCATACTCATCCTTGTTAATATCATCCCAGTCGGGTTCGAAGTCCGATGCAGACGGTTAGGTGGGAAATGAAGCTCCCGCAATGGCCCTGGTGGAATCGGATTTATCCCAAACCGTGGTACTACTAGAGATATCTAATGAGGAGAGAGAAATCCACCCCCTTTATTGGCGCGGGGTGTGGCTGAACTTCTGAACGGGGACGATGAATGAACGGGTCACGTGGTGTGGCGGGTGGTGACGTGGCGCAGTGCCTGTCAGTCGCCAACCAAACAGAAGCGTTCCTCGTCCGCGTCCACCTTCGTCAATGATCCTTCCTCTAGTTCCTCCCATCTGTCCATCCCGTCCCTTTGCCCAGCTTGTCCATCTTGTACTCCACCACGCCCGGGCATTGAGGAGGCCGGCCCTCTTGATGAAATGGTCAGTGTGTCCGTCCCAAAGCGCAAAGCCTCGCATGACCCTCCGAGCCCTGATCGGGACGCCCCGGCGCTCCCCACCATCACGTCCATCCATGGCCTTCTGAGGGACAACCACCGAGAACGGCTCTATGTCCCTCCCATCTGCTGGACCGCGAGGCAGCCGCGACTGTTGGGATATTACTTCGCCCGCGACAAAGTTCTTGTTGAGAAAGGGGACCCCCCCTCCAAGTTGGTGGTCCAGAACCTGCGGGACCAACGGCCACTATATAAGAACCCCATCCATGCGATCGCTCAACTGCTCCGCCCCGGAACCTTGGCCGCCAAGCAACTGGATGTGGCCAATCTCCTCCGCCCTTACAGTCTGTTTCGTCTGGCGTACCACTCACTCATTGCCCCTCCTCGGTGGGTTCACTCGCAACGCTGAAGGCTGACCCGATGACAGCCCCGATAGCCTGCCGTTCTATTTTGGCCAGCGGATAGCGGCCCCGATCCCCATTGACGCCCTGTTCGCCCATCACGGCACCCGGCCTAGCCTGGCCTACATCACATCCAGTACAATCTAAACCCTTCGCCAGAGGAACGTCTGCCGTCCCCGGGGTGGAAGGGCCAACAAGCCCGTCCAGAATATCCACCAGAAAAGGCTGCGATCGCTGGAGCCCCGGAATCCCGCCGAGGATCCCTATATCATCTCCATTTTGATTGCCCTGGCCCAGGCACAGCGGCAGCAAACCGACACACCCAAGAGTACATCCCGATCCTTCCAGGTAAGTCCCGAGAGAATCTCCAGAAATGGAGTCATATTGATTGATGTGCCCAAGGTCACCGTCCTCGCTACCGTCGGCATTCTAGCGGACGGTGTCTACGTCTACACCGCTACTACCCCTACCGAGTTCCTCGATCGGTTGGATGCGCCCTCGCAGCCCTTGTCGAGTTGTCCGGTTCCGGTGAAATACTTCCGGATCTCGTTAACTCCAGGGAGGAAGGCTTTGAGGAAGTTGCATCACCTGATCTGTTCAGGTACATGCACTTGGTGTGCCACAGAAGAGCCTGTCGGGTCTGGACTCGCAGGCTGAGAGGTTTCCGGGACATCGTCTCATCCTTGACATTTCGTCTTCAGCAAGGTGGTGATGGTGGGTTCCCACCGACGTGCTGATAAGTGCCAGGCGCACTCATGCACTGAGATAAAGTCACGGGCATCAGACAGATAACAATTCTCGGATTTCATTGGCTTGACGGTGTGAGATTATGGCCGTTGCCTGAATGGTCCAATCATCATCATCATCATCATCATCATCGGGGGCCTCGTCCAGCGGTCATCAATTAATACACTCAGCTCGATAGTATATTTAGTCAGCTTTTGATGATGGCCTACCTACCATCACCAAATCTCAAACGTCCCATATAATGGAATCCAGATTTCCTTCCCCGTGCATTTGGATATAGTATACATCCCATACAAATGATCAACCCAGCCGGGCTTCCTTCGGGACTTGTCGGGGATCGCACAGGAAAACGGGCATCTTCGGACCCCGACGGGCGAGTTTAAGAGGAGTCCCCGTCACCACCATGCCATTCTCTGAACATAACCAACCAGAATCCTGCTGCGACTGATACCCCCATGTCCAGAATGAATGCGACCGCGACCACCATCGACCTATCGGTAGAGGCCACCCCCGGGTACGTGCATGCCGACCACCTCACGCCCGACAGCGCCGCCCTGACCTCGGACCTGCTCAACATCAACCATGCTGCATACCATACCCGATGGGAGGCTACCTTTCACAACCATATCGTCCACCACCAGCTGGCTCTGTGGGCCTTGGGGGCCACTCCAGGCGAGATCCAAGCCATGTGGGATTTCAACACCCCCTACCAATCTTCCATCCAGCGCAACGGGGCCACACTCTTGCCGGACTTCGATCTGACCGACCCGGTCGTCTTCACCGCGTCGCTTGGAAAGGATGAGTGCTATGACCACTTCCTCAAGTTCTTCGAGGCCGAAGTGGCCGCCAAGGGGATGCAAACCGTGGTCCGAGAATACGTCCTGCAAGGGGATGCGCGCGCCGATGACATCCTAGGCCGCATGTTTTCCGGTGAGAGGATCTCCTGCTGTGGAGTCTAGATGGGGCTAACCAACCACCCCCCCCCAGATCTCGTGCATCCGATGATCCACCTGGGGTGTGGGATCGAGTTTCACCAGCCAGCCATCGTGGCCGAGGCCCTGGCGGGGGCCTGCGTGCATGACAACTGGCCCATCAAGTTCCTCATCCCTACCGAGCAGTACGTGCGGACCGAACCCAACCTCCCGCGTCGGTCTCTGCTCGAAATCCTCGACGCGCTTCGCCAAGACCCCGAGATCGCGTCCGGGGTCAAAGCCTCGGATCCGTTCAACAAAATCCCGGACGGTTTCCTCCAGCGCATCACGGCCGACCAGCTGGCGCCGGTGCTGGGTCAGTTCCAAGTAGCTCCAACGGACGAGGGCCTGCAGCGCGGCATGGCGGATCTGATGTACACGGCAGCCTTTATGGTAGGAGCGGCGCAGCGTCCAGGCAAGCGTGAGTCCATTGACTTTGTGCTCTTGCACTGCTGCACCCTCGCCGTCTTCTTCCCGGCCATCTTGGCACAGGACTGGCTGTCCAACGAACACAAGGCACGGTTACTGACGGCCACGGCACGGGTCAACGCTGTCATGTATGCCGGCTGCGGCAGTCCCGCGCTGGATGCCAGCCGCGTGCTCACCTACCAGCCGCGCCAGCCGTCGACGGGGTGGCGCGAACTTTTCCAGCGCGCAGTGATCTACCGCGATGAAGGTCATGCTGCCAAGCTAGTACGTGCCCTCTACAGTCTGGAAGCGCTTCCAGAACCAGCCCCAGGATTCCCCCTAAATAAGGGCGACTTTCTCACAATTGCGCACATGGTCATGGATTCTATAGAAATGGCGTTTGAGGCAGATGGGCCCCAGGTGCCTCAGTCGGTGTCGGAGGGGATCCGGGACCGTCTGGGTCCTGGTGCAGGAATGGTGGTGGATAACATGCGGCGCTGGGTGTTTTATGGCGGGTTGGAGGGGGCCTGGGACCGTCGGCCGGATTTGCGTACGGTCTCTCGTTGAGCGGGAATTCACTCTGGAGATGTTGTATCTAACTAATATACCCCGGAAAAGAAGAAGAAGGACATTTTCTTTGGAAATTCCGTGGACAATTCGATGGGTGTTACTCTAGGTACGGCTAACCAAAGGGGCAAGAACCACCTCCAGTGAAGACGACAGCAGATCATTGCTATTGGTCTACCCTGAATTCATTTGCAAGATGTCCAGCTAATTCTGCGACGATCCCGATCTTCGCGTCCCCAAGACGAGATAGACCGGCCACTGAACCCGCAGCTGGCCACTCGGACACTCCTCCTCCAACGAGCGGTCCCACTCCGCCAACTCCTCCCGGCAGTTCTCGAGGGTGAGCTTCGCCTCCGGGGGTCGGAAGGTGTTCAAGAAGGTCAGAAGCCACTTGTGATCCACGGTGAATACCCAGCCATCGGCCTCGGGATCCACCCCGGTATGCAGCTGCACCATCTGCTCTCCTGCCCGGACGCGACTGCCGCCATCGGATGGGAGCTCATCCGGCCCATACCGCTGAAACAGCACCTTGTAGGGCAACTGCCCATCCGAGGTAGGGTTGATATACACTCGGACCGGATCCTCAAAGTACTCGTCCAAAACCGGCAGTGAGTCCAGGACGCCCTCGCCCGCTAACCGCCGGGACACAATCTGGGCCAGACCCGCGCGATGGGGGAGGCGCTGCAGAATCACCCGGTCAAAGGTGCGGGCAAAGACCTCGTGGAAGTGTGAGGACTGGTCGGGAAAAGTGGGCATCCAGTAACTGAACACGGCCATGGTACCCCCGGGCGCAACATCTTCCCCATGGACGTGACCAGTCCATCTGGGTCCATGAAGTGGGCCGCGGTGGCACAAATTGCCAGGTCGGCCTGACCTTCGCCGGTCTTCTGGTAGGCCTCTTCTCCTGTGGCTTGAGAATACTCGAACGTGCGACTCAGGCCATGCTGTTGGGCCCAGTCCGGGAGAAAGGCGCGGGCTTGGGCCTCATTGGATGGGCTGGGATCGGAATTGTGGATGATTTGGAATTCCGCGAGAAAGTTGGTGGCGGCGATGCCCGAGCCAGCTCCCACGTCGACCAGACGCTCCCACTGGGCCTGGGGATGCTGGCGACGGTAGGCATAGATGAGCTCGGTGAGGGATTGGGGGTAGGGGGGGCGACCCTGAGAGTAATGCGCCCAGTCGGTGGTGGCGTAGGTCGTCTTGGTCGTGGGATCGACGGAGGCCATTCTGCTAATTGGGGTTGGGGGGGGGGGGGGGGGGGGGATGATTAGGGCTTTTTTTACGTGCCCGGTTGGGGCTGACTTTATACGACCAGAGCCAGCCGGAGATGGAGATGGAGATGGAGATGCAATTCCGCGCCATTCGGGACCCGAACCGGGCTCGGGATTCAAAACGGTGCCCGGATGCGATCGGTCCAACCTCTCCAATCTGGCCGTGACAGGAACGTTTCCTTTGCTTCATCACATCCTGCATGCCATCTTCACGGCGCAGCCAACCCACCACTAGTCCACCCCCTACCGCCAGCGACCATGATCATAATAGAGGCCATCCCGGCCCAGTGGTATCAAGTCGATCACATCCTCCTTCTGCTCGTTTGCGGGACCTTCAGCACACTACTGCTGGCTTATATCTGGCGCGACCGCCGACTAAGTAGCATCCCTGGCCCTCGACTTCTCCCGCTGATTGGGCTGGGCTACAAGCTGCCTCCGTCTGCGCCCACCCTGTTCCGGCAATGGGCCCTGCAGTATGGAGAGATCTTTCGCGTACGGGTGGGCTGGTACCACTGGGTGGTGATTAACAGCCCCGAGGCGATCCGGGAGATCCTGGAGAAACAGGCTCTCGTCACCTCGTCCAAGGCCCCGTCGCCCCTGGGCCACGACATCGTGACGGGGGGGCATCGAATGCCCACCATGCCGTATGGGCCACGCTGGCGAGCCCTGCGGTCGGCGGTGCGCCAGTTGACCACCGTGCCCATGACCACCACCATGGTGCCCTGCCAGGAGTTCGAAGCGAAACAGCTGCTCTTCGACCTGGCCACGGACCCCGCGAGCCCGCGCAGCTTCTACCAGCACATGCGCCGCTACGCCTTTAGCATCATCATGACCAACACCTTCGGTACTCGTATCCACGACTTGACCCACCCGGATGTCCAGAACGCCCTCCGAACCCAGGCCATTCTGCGGCGGACATCCCGGCCGGGGGCCTACCTGGTGGATGAAATCCCCCCACTGGCGCGCCTCCCACGCTGGCTGCAACCCGGCCGTCGGGACGCCCAGCGTGCCGGTCGGGAGGTGCTCGAGATGAAGATGGCTCTCTGGCACCGGCTCGAGCAGCAAGTCACCACCGGTCAGGCGCCCCACTGCTACGCGCGCGAGATCTTCGAGAGCAAAGACTACTGGAATGCCCACGGCCTGACCGACGAGCACTTGGCCTGGCTGACCAGTGGGCTCGTGGAAGCCGGCTTTGAAACCACCGCTGCCACGCTGAATGGCCTCGTTCTCCATCTGGCCAACAACCCGCGCGTGCAAGAAGCGGCCGACCGCGAGCTCATGCGCGTCGTCGGTCCCAGCCGCCTGCCCACCTTTGCGGATCTGAAACAGCTGCCGTATATCCGCGCGTGCGTGAAGGAGATGCTCCGCATGAACCCCATCCTAGCCCCGGGGATCCGACACTTCGCCGAGGCGGATATCGCGTACAAAGGCCATGTCATCCCCAAGGGCACCGTGCTTTTGGCCAACACCGCTTTTCTCCACTTCGACTCGCAGCGATTTGACAATCCGGAGGCCTTTCACCCCGAGCGCTACCTGGACCACCCGCTCTACAGCGCCGAGTATGCGGCCATGGGAGACCCCCTCCAGCGCGATCATTTTGCCTTCAGCAGCGGTCGACGCACCTGTCCAGGAGCTCGGCTAGCCGAGAACTCGCTGGGGATTGCCTTGGCTGGCATGCTGTGGGCATTTGAGATTCGACCGCCGAACGGTCAGGCACATATGGAGGTGGGCCCCGGGGCGTATCTGGATGCCGGGTTTCAACTTCCGAAGCCGTTTGAAGTGCAATGGGTCGTCAAGGGAGAGGAGCGGGCGCGTATAATTCGGGAGCAGTGGACGATTGGTCAACAGGAGGGGTATGAATTGAGGGGAGTGCCGGTGGGCGTGGATGGGGTTATCTTATAGACTGGACCCCGGCTTTATATATTTGGGAAGGAACGCAGCGGCTGGGCGCGCCTCGACTGTGATAAGATGCTAGAAATTTCACCAATTCTACGAAACGCTGTAGAGAGGCTACTCGGGTGTATTCAGTTCCTTTAACTGGGCTCGCAACGCATTGGCAATGCGGGCATGTTCCTCCCGCAGCCACGATGCCAGACTCTGGTGCAAGCCCTCCACCCCCCCTCGTTTCCACCCATCGCCCAGACGGGGCCCTGCATCCTGACACGTAGAGAAGGCGTCGATCAGCCGACGCACCCGTCCCATCTCGCCCAGTACCAGCTGAGTCCGCAGGGCCGACTGCACCCGCAGGTCATCGATGTTGAAGCTCCCAATGGCCATCCTCACCGGCACCATCCCTCCCGCCACAAGGGTCGGGGTCGACGGTCCTGGGGCCTCTCGTTCTCCGGGGCCACTGCCGGTCGTGCTCGACCACCCCGAGGCGCCATGGCCGACCCCCGTGCTGGAGGCCGGGGAGATGGCTCCGTCGAGGGGGATGCATGGGAGACCCGGCGACCCGCTCGTCACGCAGCCAGCCGCCTCCTGGTACCAAATGAGAATCCAGGAGAGGATTGATGCATAGAGAAGCGCCAGGGCAGGGAATCGCGTGCAGGAGCAGGCGAGCAGGGGGGTGAGGCGCTCGCTAGCGCCGCGGTTGACGCGCAGCAGGTGGTCCAGCGCGACACCCGGATCTGAATTGCCCGCCGGTCGGCCCAAGGCTCGACTCAGGGGGAGCGACGATAAACTGCCGAGGATACTGTACGCTTCTCGGGGGCAGTCGTGATCCTTCAGGCCCCCCAGTGCCCGGGCCCGCGCACTCGGCTCCGTCGGCGTCGACCCTATCCGGTCCATTGGGGGCGAGTCCGGAGCGGATATGGACGGAAAGTCCATCTGACTGGCTAGCATGGAGTGTTTGGAATTATCCGCTATGAGCTCGTCGCCGAATTCAAGTGACAGGAATGGCAGGGGAGGCGCCCCGAGATGGCCCAAGGCATCCAAGTCGGCCAGAAGTCCTCCGGGGGGGTGGCCTGATATCGTGCCATCCCACGCCGGCACCTCATGCACACTCGGAAATAGCTCGGCATCAATGAGGCTCTGATCGTGGCTGTCGTGGTGGCCTAATTTGTCTAAGCCTCCATCCATAGCGGTTCGAGATTGCGAGATACTCTGGCGATGGAGTCGGTCACGGGGGGGCTTCCCCATCTTGCGTGATAGGCCGTAGTGGCAGGTGAGGCCGTTGGACAGGCACCGACTGCACTCTGGATGGCCTCGGTCGCACTTAAGTTTGGCGGCACCACAGGCATCGCAGCTGGCGCGAAGCTTGGGTTGCTTGGCCTTGCGGGGAGCAGCGTCGGACATGATGGCTACCAGCTAGACCATGAACCAGGACAAGGGGATGGAGGTAACAGACCACTCGTTTGCCCGTAGTCTCCCAGCTTAAATGAAGACCCTCCACAGTATCTGGTTTGTCTCCCAAATGAGGATAGGATCGACAGCGCCGGTCTGATTGGCACGCCGATCGATTGGGGCGCATCTTAGGGCCGGACACGGCGGAGTCAGCGTGTGATGGAGGGTGCTTCTGCACAAATCGCAAACCTGCATGGCGCATCACTGGATTCCTTCAGACAGGGATTGGCTTCCTTTCTCGTGCAGAAGCAATGCCACTATTCCCAACGCCGTCGAGATTGGTCGTGCCGGCAGAGGCCACCCCCGGCAGATGCCCCTTGGGGACCGGGAGGGGGTTGTACCACTATGGATCGACAGCTCCTGATATTACATCTGCGCGTCGTATCATGCTCATCTCCATTGTGAATCCGTGAAGAGCTGACCACCATCTCCCTGGCTGTCTCGTCAGGATGGTAGGCTGCATCCAGCCACCCCCAGGTGACGAATGAGGGCTACTCCCGCTGGCCTGAGGGACTTGCCCTCTCCCCAACCATTCGCTTCGACTACTGCCTCATCCTGTGTCGTGGGATAAGTTGGAAAAGTACCCCCGAGAATCCTCCTCGGTCTCACCTGATAAGCCCGATGCGGGGTTGTCGGTGAAACCCGGCCCTGTTGGCCGTTAGGGACTACCAAGAGGAAGACAGTGCAGGGCGATGCCAATCGGCATTCCACAGGACAGCGATCAACCATCAAGGCCCTCTGCTGAGGTATGCTTCTTTCTCGTGCGGCTCGGGGAGCGAAATACGTCTGCCATTGCGACTCGGTTGTTCCACTGCTGAGCACTCGGGTCTGACATCCAACTCCAGTTCAATGAGTCGATTCCCGAGGTGAACTCCAGCCTCGAGGATGACCGCGATCAATGCGGGCAGGACCTCATGTATGTAAAGACGGCTCTGATACCAAGATGTAGGTGATAGCAACCGAGTCTTGGTCTTGACTTCAACAGCTCTCCTGGATTCTTCACCGCCGCACAAACAGTCTTCATCATGACTGACCGTCTAAAGTTGTATGTCTTTGGGGATCAGACGTATGATGTCCAATCACAACTACACAACCTGCTAGGCCGTCGGGACAATCCCATCCTTGAGGATTTCCTACAGAAGGCCTACCGAGCCATCCGAGCCGAAATCCACCGTTTGCCGCCGCAGACCCGCGAGGACGTGCCCCGTTTCACCAGTGTTGATGATCTGCTCTTATGGAACCGACCCATGAAGCGATGTATACCCCTGGACATGGCGCTGACCTGTCTGGCCCAGCTAGGAACACTGATCAGGTATGTCATGGACCAAGTCCATCCGGGGTGAGCCTCACTAAGTGGGTCAACAGTCAGGATGGTATTTGGGATGCAGGCGTCGCGTGTCGCGTCTTAGGGCTCTGCACGGGGGCCCTGGCTGCGGCCGCCGTCAGCTGCTCTGGGAGCGCTCTGGACCTGGTCCCACTCGCAGTGGTGGCGGTTACCGTTGCATTCCGTACAGGCATACTTGTCACCGATGTGGCTGAACGAGTCACTTCCATGGACCACGGTGATGCCAGCTGGTCCATGGTGGTCCCGGGCTCGATGTCGGCGGAGGTTGTGCAGCAGTTCTGTCGGCAATCGGTATGTTGTCTTTGGTGCGAGTCATCCGCCATAAACTCTCTAACAAACAAACCTTGCCAGGTGCTCCCCTTGACCAGTCAGCCCTATATCAGCGCCTACGCCCCCAACGGGGTGACCGTCAGCGGACCTCCACCGGCTCTCGCACAGCTTCTCGCGTCCGACGCCTTCCAGTCCCTCCGTCACAAGAGCCTCCCGATCTACGCCCCCTATCATGCTCCCCATCTCTACTCGGATCTTGACATCCAGGAGATCGTGGGGGATCTGACGTCGGCATCGGCAGGGGAGCGTTTGGAGCGAATTCCTCTGATTTCCATTGCCGAGGCTGAGACAGGGCGCACGTTTGCCCTCCTGCTGAAGACCGCGATCCAACAGATCCTCCTTCACCCCATCCGATGGCCGGCCATCCTGACCGAACTCGAGCGGACGATCCGAACGGTCCAACCTGAATCCTTCAGTGTCGTGCCGATTGGGACCACAGCGGACCAGCTGATCTACAGTTCGCTCAGGCAGACCCCCCTCCGGCTGTTGCTGCCACTGGCCGTCCAGCAAGGCAGTCGACCAGCCACCCCCCAAGATGCAGATCCCTTGCCTACCCCGACACATCCCACCCGCTGCAAGCTGGCCATTGTGGGCATGTCCGGGCGGTTTCCGGGTGCGTCGGACAAGGAAGCCTTTTGGGACCTGCTCTATCAGGGGCTGGATGTGCACAAGCCCGCGCCACCACAGCGTTGGAATGTGAGCACACATGTCGACCCGACAGGGAGCCAGAAGAACACTAGCGCCACGGCGTATGGCTGCTGGCTGGACGAGGCGGCCGGGTTTGATGCCCGCTTCTTCAACATCTCCCCGCGCGAGGCGCCGCAGATCGACCCGGCCCAGCGGCTGGCCCTCATGACGGCGTACGAGGCCATCGAGCAGGCCGGGATTGTGGCCGACGCGACCCCCTCGACTCGCCGCGATCGTGTGGGTGTGTTCTATGGCGTGACCAGCAACGACTGGATGGAGACCAACAGTGCCCAGAACATTGACACGTATTTTATCCCGGGGGGTAACCGTGCTTTTATCCCCGGCCGCATCAATTACTGCTTTAAATTTAGCGGGCCCAGCTATGCAGTCGACACTGCCTGTTCCTCCAGCCTGGCAGGCATCCACATCGCTTGCAATGCCTTATGGCGCGGTGATATCGACACGGCCATTGCCGGTGGCACGAATGTCCTCACCAACCCGGATTTCACGGCGGGTCTAGATCGGGGACACTTCCTGTCGCGGACGGGGAACTGCAAGACCTTCGATGATGGTGCAGACGGGTATTGCCGAGGCGAGGGGGTCGGCACCGTGATTATCAAGCGGTTGGATGATGCCCTGGCGGATCACGATCCCATTCTGGGAGTCATTCTGGGGGCCTCAACCAACCACTCGGCCGAGTCGGAGTCCATCACGCGGCCGCATGTGGGCGCCCAGCGTGCCATCTTCAGCACCATCCTAAACCAGGCGGCGGTAGACCCCTACAGCGTCAGTTACGTGGAGATGCACGGAACGTAAGGAATCCTTTTACCTCAACCCTCCGCAGAGTACAGGCTAACTCCATGGTAGAGGTACGCAAGCTGGTGACGCCGGGGAAATGTCCAGCGTGCTCGACACCTTTGCTCCACCGCTGTCTCCGAATCAGAAGGCCAGAAACAGTCAGCAGGCGTTGTACTTGGGCTCAGCAAAATCCAATATCGGCCACGGGGAAGCCGCCTCGGGCGTCTCGAGTCTGATCAAGGTGCTCCTCATGATGCAGAAAAATATCATCGTGCCGCATTGTGGCATCAAGACCAAGCTGAACCATCGGTTCCCCACCGATCTGGACCAGCGCAACGTCCATATCGCGCAGCAACCAACTCAGTGGGAGCGGAACATGGACTCGTCCCAGCCGCGGAGAGTCTTTGTCAATAACTTCAGCGCCGCCGGGGGGAATTCAGCCCTGTTGATTGAAGATGCACCGTTGCAAGTGCCGATTCAAGAGGTAGACCCTCGAAGCAGCCATCTCATTGCAATCTCGGCCAAGAACGGCGTGTCCTTGCAGGGGAATCTCCGATCCCTGCTGGCCTTCTTGCGCCAGACCCCGGATTTCTCCCTCAGCCAGCTATCCTACACCACTACAGCGCGTCGCCAACACCATCCACACCGGGTGATGCTGAGTGCCTCGACGGTTCAGGACCTAACTGTGCAGATTGAAGCTGCCTTGCGTGATAACAGTGGAATGACTCGGCCGAAGAGTGTACGAAAGGTAGTGTTCACCTTCACCGGCCAGGGCGCCCAATACCCCGGCATGGGCAAGCAATTGTTCCAGAATTTATCTTTCTTCCGCACCGAAATGTGCCGACTGGACCAGATCGGGATCAGCTTAGGTTTCCCGTCCATGTTGCCGGTGATCCAGTCCGAGGAGCAAGATATTGGAGAATTCGCCCCGATGGTGGTCCAATTGGCCAGCATCAGCATGCAAATCGCCCTGCGAAAGCTGTGGGCTTCCTGGAACATCACGCCCAGTGCGGTGGTCGGACACAGCCTGGGCGAGTATAGTGCGCTCAATGCCGCTGGGATCCTTTCCGACACGGACACCATCTACCTGGTGGGCAAGCGGGCTGAACTACTGCAGGCGACATGCCAAAGCGGTACCCATGCTATGCTGGTGGTCAAAGGAGCGATGGAGGAGGTCTCTCGGATTCTCAAGGATTTCTCCTATGAGATTGCCTGCATCAACTCGCCCGTGGAGACGGTTTTGGCTGGACTGAGCGAGGATATCTCAGCCCTGACAGGGCCACTGAGCGCCGCGGGGATGAAGTCAACCCTGCTGAGGGTCCCCTATGCCTTCCACTCATCGCAACTGGAGCCCATGTTAGCTGACTTTGAACACCTCGCGGGTGGTGTCACTTTCTCCGACCCGAAGATCCCGATTCTCTGCCCCTTGGACGGTGGTGTTGTGGAAAGCAACGGCGACTTTGACGGGGCGTATCTCGCGCGTCATTCCCGCGAGCCAGTCAACATGTATAAAGCACTCCAAACTGCCCACTCCAGGGGAATTATCACCGACCAGACGACCGTGGTCGAAATTGGTTCCCACCCGGCCATCTCAGGCATGGTAAGAGCCGTGCTCGGAACCCAAGTGACATCTCTGGCATCAATGCAGCGTGGACGACCCGCCTGGCAAGTCCTCAGTGTGGCCCTCAAAGCCCTCTATCAGACAGGGGCCGATATCCGATGGAGCGAGATCCACCGCGACTTTAAGAGCGCGCACAAGGTGCTGCCGCTCCCGGCATATAGCTGGGACTTGAAAGACTACTGGATCCAGTACGTGAATGACTGGTCGTTGCGCAAGGGAGACGCCCCTCTAGTCATCAACGCGCCGGGGCTAGAGAGCACCACCATCCACCGCGTCGTCGAGGAAACAGGGGATTCCCTCCAGGCCCACCTGGTGGTCGAGGCCGATATCGCCCGGGAGGACCTCAGTCCGCTGGTTCAAGGCCATGAAGTCGACGGCATCCCGCTCTGCACCCCGTCGGTGTATGCGGACATTGCGCTGACTCTAGGGACGTATCTCCTTCGGCGGTACCAGCCCCAGGAGGAAGATCGACTAGTGGATGTCTCCAACATGACCATCTCCAAGGCCCTGATCCTGCGCCCCAACACAACCCAACAGCTCCTCCAGGCACACGCCGATGTGGAATGGTCCTCTCAATCCGCCACTGTGAAATTTGTTTCCTTCAATGTAGGCTTTCCCCCTATCTTCAGTTTTTCTGAGTAGCATGCTGAATGGATCGCAGAACAAACAGGAACTCCAGGAGCACGCCCGCTGTGTGATCAGCTTCCGGGACCGAAGTATCGTGCAGCAGCTGCAAGACAAAGTGGCTCTTGAGAAGGAAAAGATCCAGGCCCTCCGAGATGGCATTGCCCCGGGCATCACGGCTCGATTCAATCGACCGATGGTGTACCGCGCCATCCGTCCGTTGGCCCGGTTCCACGACGACTATCGCGCCATCGATGAGATTGTTCTCGATAGTAACACCCTCGAAGCCACTAGCCATCTTAGCTTCGGCAGCGTCAAGCGCGGTGGCAACTTCCACACCCATCCCGCCATTATCGATGCCCTCACGCAGTCGTGCGGCTTTACCATGAACTGCAACGACTATACTGACCTGGACAACGAGGTGTTCATGAACCATGGATGGGGCTCGTTCCAGATCTTCGAGCCCTTGGACTTTGACAAGAAATATGTCACCTACACTCGCATGGAAGAAGGGGCAGATAAATTGTGGCATGGCGATGTCACAATCCTAGATGGCGACAAGGTGGTCGCATTCTTTGGGCAGATTGCGGTTGGTCTCTTCCTTTCTTCCCTCTCCTGCCATCCAACATCCATGCTGACCTCCCCAGATCCAAGGCGTGCCCCGCCGAGTCCTCCAGGTTATCCTGTCTCTGGAGAGTGGAAGCCGGCAGAAGGGCCCCCGAGCGCCAGAAAAGCAGCCTGCAGCCCCTCGTCAATCCGGCCGCAGTCCCGTGGCAGGCTCTGCTCCAGTTCCAACGAGGTCCCAGGGCCCTGACAAGGCATCTCGGGCCCTGGCAATCATCGGGGAGGAAAGCGGCATTGCAGTGGCCGACCTGACCGACAGCACCAACTTTCAAGATGTGGGCATCGACTCGCTGCTGGCCCTGACTATCTCGGCGCGCTTCGCCGAGGAGCTGGACACCGAGCTCGACTTTAACGCCATGTTCTTCGACTACCCCACCGTGGCCGATCTCCGAGAGCTGTTCGGTGGAGACTCTGGCACTATGACGCCTGGTGGCAGCGACGGGGACACCGAAGCCACCGACATCACGCCTCCGGATGCCGGGGACCAGCTCAGTAACGGAGACTTTGCACACATACTGTCCATCATTGCCGAAGAGAGCGGCATCAGTGTGGATAATCTCACCGAGGATACCAACTTTGTCGATTCCGGCATTGACTCGCTGTTATCGCTGGTGATTGTCAGTCGATTTCGCGATGGGCTAGGGCTGGACATTCAGCACGAGACTTTGTTCTTGGACTGTCCCACTGTCGGAGACCTGAAAGCCCTGCTAGTTGATGACCCCAGTGATTCTAGTGACCCTGTCGTCGATGGAACTTCCGCAGGCAAGCCCATTGTCGAGACCATTGAGACCCCTGTCCCTGTGCGCCAGCCAGAGATGGACCCTGCTGCTTTGACAGCCCGAAAGGACGCGGTGGATGCCTACCTGCAAAAGTACTTAGCCGGATACTCTGGACCTAGTGCCACCCCCGAGTCATCTAGTTTGGAGGCCCTCGAGAAGGTGGTGCTGGTGACGGGCGCATCTGGCAGTCTAGGCAGCCACCTGGTGTACCATCTGGCCCAACTGCCCGACATCAAGACGGTCATCTGCCTGAACCGTGACAACCGCACCGAGCCCTACGCCCGCCAGCAAAAGGCCATGCGCGACAAGGGCATTCGCTTTCCCGAGGCGCTCAAGCCCAAGCTCGTCGTCCTCCAGGCGGATACCTCACAGCCTCGATTGGGTCTATCCCCAGCTGCTTACGACACTCTAGTCACATCCGTCACCCATCTCATCCACAACGGGTGGCCGATGAGTGCCAAACGGCCCCTGTCCGGATTCGAATCCCAGTTTCAGGTCATGCGCAACCTGATCGATCTCGCCGGGTCCATCGTCAGCAAACGGCCATCCAGCTTCAAGTTCAGCTTCCAAATGGTCTCGTCGATTGGGGTGGTCGGTCACTACGGCCTAGCCGACACAGCCCCACGAGCCGTAGTCCCAGAAGACCGGGTGGACATCGATGCCGTCCTCACAAATGGCTACAGCGAGGCCAAATGGGGTTGTGAGCGTATGCTGGACGCAACGCTGCATCATCATCCGGACCAATTCCGGGTCATGGCCGTGCGATTAGGGCAAATTGCGGGCTCCAAAACCAGCGGCTACTGGAACCCCATGGAGCACTTTGGCTTCCTGGTCAAATCGTCGCAGACCCTCAATGCTCTCCCTGATGTGGACGGCCATCTCTACTGGACCCCGGTCAATGATATCGCGGGGACGCTCTGCGATTTGGTCCTAGCCGACCACAGTCCCTACCCGGTATATCACATCGACAATCCCGTGGGACAACCATGGAGGGAAATGAACCAGCTATTGGCCCATACACTCGGTATTAAAGACTTGATCCCCTTCGAACAGTGGGTGGAGCGGGTCCGGGCAGCACCGCAGAGAAACAACCCCGCGTCCATGCTACTGGAATTTCTCGATAGCAATTATCTGCGCATGTCGTGTGGTGGGTTGGTGTTGGATGTGCAACGGACGTTGGAGCATTCCAAGACGTTGGCGGCGGTTGGGCCTGTCAGTGAGGAGGTGGTCAGGAAGTATGTGCATATTTGGAAAGAGATTGGATTTCTTCATTGAGTGGGAATAGAAAGGTCAAGAGGAATTTGGGGAATTCAATAGACTGTACTGTTGTGTATAGATTGATACTACGTTTCGGTTTAGATTGTCTGTCAATTGATATAGAGTTTAAGATACTATAGACAACAGCTCTGGCTATCATGTTGCTGTAATATTGCTCTGTTCGTGTACTAGTAGGATCTCGTTAACCTGATTCTATGTTCTCTTTGGTATTGTTCCCCTTGGCGCGGTCGAGTCAGTGCCACGTATCTCCAGACCTTTATCGTTCGAGGCATCTGTTGGGATTATCCGCCTTTGAAGCTCTTCCTCTAGTTGGAACATTCTTTTAGTCTAGTTGGGAGCTTCTGACAGCATTCTAACGCGCAATGAGAGCGTCCAATGGCTGTTTAGCCATCAAGACCCAATGAGAACCACCTTGATTCCAGCAGTAAACCAGCAACTCACGGTCCAATCGATAGCATTCTCTCACATTCCCCCACCTTTCACGACTGTAGCACCAATATCGGCCATCATCCTTGCATCGGGCACCCGGGTCGGGCTACCATAACTCCATCCAGAGCCTTGCAGCGGGCCTTCTGTGTGCCGCGGATCTCGGACTTAGCCAACACAAGAAGCGATAATCTCCACCACGGACATAAGACTGCGTCGGAGACGACATATAAGCTTTGCTCGGGTCGCACGGCGTTAAGACTCCGGCTACACGACGTGTAGGGGATCTGCATTTCCTTTTCGGCCACCGAACCGCCCCGGGCACACGTCAGCCCCGAGCCACTTCAGGCGGGACACAAGAGACATGACTGTTGGAGCCTGATGCTTCACGCTGACATGAATCGAATCATGGTATCGATAGATTCCTCTTATGCGAACGTGTCTCCTGACGGAGCTGGAGCAGCTAGACAGACCTCCGTATGATTCCGACAATGTCTTCAGCAGGCCACGACATGACTACGTTTCCTCTGGAGGAGCTGAGCTGGACCATCACCAAAAATGCCAGCATCGTGAGTCAATATCTGGCGGCACACCAGCTCCCTCAACCATCAGTTCATGGTGACGGTCCCAGTACGGTGGTCCCCAGCAAGGCTCCTCCAGCCATCCAGCAAGCGCGACAGCATCTCATGGCTGCATCGCTGGAGCTGTTGCAGCTGGCCATTGGACCTAGCGAGTATCTCCCAAACCTGGCGATGGGTGTATGCTTTTCCCTTGCCGACCTCATTTGCCTCTGCTATGCACTGACAGACCCAGTTCCAATACACAGCCACCCTACACTACCTCCTCCAGTTCAACATCTTCCACCTGGTGCCTCTCCCCCCGGCCGCAGCCATCAGCTACACAGACCTGTCGACCATGTCAGGGATCCCAGAACCACGGCTGAAGTCCATCCTCCGCATGGCCATGACCAACAGTCTCTTCCTGGAGCTGCCCGATACCCAACATGTCACGCACTCAGCTACCTCAGCCTTTCTCTCCCGCAACCCCGACGCGCACACTTATGCCTCTTACATGTGCGCCAAATCCGCCCCGATGGCATTGGATATGGCTGCCGCGCACCAAAAATGGGGGGCAGGGACAACCAGTCTCTCGGAAACGGCGTATAACGTGGCATTTGACACCGACATGCCCTTCTTCGAGCACATCGGGCAGGATGAAGCGCGGATGAACCAGTTCGCCCGGTACATGCGGAATGTCCGGAGCAGCGAGGGGGTGGATATCAATCACCTTGTGAATGGATATCCCTGGGGACGGATTCCCGATCAAGCCGTGGTTGTTGATGTGAGATTTCACCACACTTGCTTCTCTCCATCCTAATCCCAATAAATCCTCCCGACCACAACTAACGAAGCTGTGCACAGGTCGGCGGATCCACCGGGACATCATCCCTAGCCCTAGCGGAATCATACCCCCATCTCCACTTCATCGTCCAAGATCTACCCGCCAACACCGAAACAGGCAAACAAATGGCTCAAACACTAACCTCCGAACTATCAGCCCGGTTAACTTTCCAAGCTCACGACTTCACCAAACCCCAACCCGTCCGTGGAGCCGATGTATACCTCCTCCGAATGATCCTACACGACTGGCCCGATCGCGAAGCGGCACGCATCCTGGGCAACATCGCCTCAGCCATGGAAGACAAAAAGTCCACCTCCCGACTGGTGATCATGGACACGGTACTCCCTACGCCGGGGTCAGCGCCGGTATCGGTGGAGCGGATAGTGCGGGCACGGGATTTGACCATGATGCAGGCGTTCAATAGTAAGGAGCGCGAGTTGGATGATTGGCGCGATCTGCTGACGGCAGCGGATGCGCGGTTCCGCATTGTGGGGGTGGAACAGCCGGTGGGGAGTGCCATGTCGGTGTTGGAGGTGGCGTTGTCGTGTTATTCTGAGCAAGGGGAGGATTTGCAACCCGCGGTAGCAGTAGTTGGCATTGAGCAATGCTGAGTTGAATAGTGTCGGAGAAACATTCTCAAAGTACTGGCTTCTGATTGGCTCCTTTGTAAACGCGTACGCGACCGGATATAGATATTGCCGGTATTCACCGCTTAAGCTGTTATGATGCCCCAGGCAGCGACATACTGTTGTCAACGTCTATAGTAGGCAGTATCTCTTGACTTCATTACCGAGCACATGACGCACGCAATTATGTATTAAAGCAATATGTAAATCATATCGAAAGAAACAGTCCAATCCCGAAAGGTATCATAACTTTTCCTCCATAACCTTGACATAGTCTTGACCACATTCCATCAGGGTATCTCAACAAAATCAGTCTACTACATCGGGTCCGTCTCAGTTGGGCTCTCACTCGGGCTCTCCTTTTTAGGGCCATGCACATTCCGCCATTCCATCCCAGCGGCGCCGATCAAACACAAACAGTTCATGATGAGCGCCGTCAGGAAGGTCTTCATGAGCGCGCTGTTGTATACCGTCCGCACCTCCCGCAGCACAGTCGGGTCCGTGATCAGCTCGGTGATCTGCGTGGCACCTTGATCCACCACCGCCGTGGCATTGACTCCCGGGATGCTTGCCAGCCCCGACGACAGATGGTTGGTGAAGGTGTTCTCCGCCACCGACACGAACAGCGAGCCGCCAAACATCTGCGCGAACATGATGATGGACGTACCCACCGGCACATCCGCCAGGGGGAGCACTGACTGCACGGCCACCAGACTCTGCTGCATGCCCATGCCGATGCCCGCCCCAAAGGGGATCTGGTACCCAATCCACTTGCCCGTCGACGTATCCACCGTCCAGGTATACATCAGCCCCGCGCCGACCGACCCAAACACCACCAGCCCATACATGAACGGGTTGTAGTATCCCCAGTGGGTCACGATGAGACCGGCCGACAGGCTGGCGATGACGACGGCGATCATCATCGGGAGTGTGTTGATGCCTGAATGCATGGCGGACGCATCGCGGATGGCCTGGAACCAGATCGGCACGTAGTAGACCATGATGAAGAAGGACGATCCCACGCAGAGGGAGAAGAAGGCCCCCGCGGCGACACTGCGTTGCCGGGCAATGCGCACCGGCAGTGTCGCGTTCTCACCCGCCCAGATCTGAATGCCAATGAAGGCGAGGAGCAGAACCCCAAACACCACGAACAGGGCGATGATCCGGCCGCTGCTCCAGGCGTAGGTCGTGCCGCCCCATTGGAGCGCCAGCAGGACGCACACGATACACGGCACGAAGATCAGGGTGCCAAACGGGTCGAAGCGCATGATACTCTCCGTCCAGGTCCGCACGGTCGTGTCCGGGGGACGCGCGGGGAGGTGCAGGAAGAGCACCAGAGCAGCGGCCGTGACACCTCCCAGCGGCAGGTTGATGTAGAAGCACCAGCGCCAGGTCACTTGGTCGGTAAAGACTCCTCCGAGAAGAGGACCCACCACGCTGGCAATGCCATACACGGCGGTAATCATCGAGGTATACAGGGGGCGCTTCTCCAGCGGCGTGCTAAAGGCCAGGATAATCAGCGCCCCCGAGAAGAGACCGGCCGAGCCCAGTCCGGCAATGGCACGGCCGACGATCAGGGCGGTCGAATTCGGGGCGACACCACAGATCAGAGAGCCCAGCTCGAAGATGAACAGCGTGAGGAGGAAGATCCATTTCACGTTGAAATAGGTGTACATGCGGCCGAAGAAGAGCTGGAAGGCGGCCAGGGTAAGGAGGTAGGCAGAGCCATACCAACCCACGTCGTCGAGGGCATGGAACTGGTCGGTGATCCGAGGGATGGCCGTGGCGATGATGGTGTTGTCCAGAGCCACGCAGAGCACCGCCAGTTCCAGACCGAGGATGATGATGGCCAGCTTCATCCCCGTCGGGTACTGCGGGCCAGCCGGGGCCGCGGGGGCCTCCTCCGAGGGTGGCTCGGGGTCCGAGAGGGTCTTTTCAGGGTCCATGTCGGAGTTTGATGGGGGAAGGGAGGGGGCCAACCGATTGGGTCGTGAATATGCCGCCTTAGGATACACTCTGACACTGGTGATATCGCCAGGGAGGGCGGTGATAGGGCACCGGGGGACGAGGGCAAAGTATCACTGGAGTGGGGGGTTAGGAATCAGGCTCAGGTATACCAGATGCCCTTATACGGTTCTGCATGGTGGACTATGGGTACAAAGGGGCCGGAGTTAAGGAGTTAAAGAAGAGAGCCTGGGGATAGGAGTATTCAGGAGAGAGTGCCAGGTGGTGGATGGGGACTGCTTCTACCCCGGACCCTGTCAAGCGCCACTTGCTGCACTGGAGTGCTTAACAGGTCACTAGTGATTTGCTAGCCGTCACTAGCGCCTCGGGAAGAGTTCAATCGGGGGTCCAGTGGGGGAGCACGATGAACGGTGAGCACGCACCCGCCGTGGGTTGGGCCTGCTCCCCCCCTCGTTGGGCCATGATGATCGCCGCAGAGGATCCCACCCACAGCGGGCAACTAACTAGTGCTGACGATGCCGTCTCGCAGGCCGAAATGAATGGGTCGAAGCGAACTGCCAGCAAAAGCAAAGAGGTGCCAGCTCCCGAGTCCTGCTGGAGATATCGGGGTTAGGCCTATGTCCGCCCGACCAGCTGCAGGCCAGCGGTGGCTTGCATTTCCCAGTGATCATCACTTCCTGGTCGTGCCCACAGGCTTTCGGTCCCCGGAAAAAGAGGGCTTGAAGTGATTCGCAGGCGCCCCATGGCGGGTAATAGATATACAAGCCTGGTGGAGTGGATCAGACTGGACTGGCACCCAGGATTCTTCAGAGTTCACACAGACCACCATGACCGTCACAACCCCCCCTATAGCTTCTGTTGAGGAGCTCCGACAGCTGGTGGCTCAGCTGAGCCAGGCCGTCGAGGCCTATGCCCAGGGCCACACCGACAGCACCAACCAGATTGTGCGGCACTGTCATGTCCTGCACCATCGCGCCGAGCCCCCTGAAGTCTTTGCGGAACGGCTCAGGTACCAGGTATGTATGTGTGGGACACGTCTGATTCCTGCAAGAAGGCGCTGACTCGTGCCAGCCACTCACCATCTGCGCTCTCATGATCGCCGTCGAGGGCGGCATGCTCCACGCCCTAGCCAGTCGCCCTGGGCAAGTCTGCTCGGCCGATCAACTGGCTCACTGGACACATCGCCCGCGAAATGACATCGGTAAGTTTGCTGCCCCCACTGCCTCCTTCACCAGTCATCGAACGTCCTCTCATGCGCACCCATGCAGTGCGCGCCCTGCGGCTGCTGACTGCGGTGGGCGTCTGCGACGAAGCCGGGCCTCAGTCCTACCGCGCCAACGATAAAACATCGGTCCTAGCCACCAAGGGCCAAATTGGGGGGTTGAGGGTTAGGTATGTCCATTTCAATGCCCATGCCTGCAATGACTAACCAGGGACCATAACCGTGTGATTCCACAGCTCGGTTCCAGTCTCCGGCATCATCCCCAAGATCGAAGAATATTTCACGAACCGGGCAACCAGCACACAGTCCGCCGCGGCGCTCGCCTCGCCCTACGCCTACACCTATGGCAAGCCCATGTATGACGTGTTGCGGGAAGACAAAGAGAAGAAGACCGCCTTCGATGACTACATGGAGGGCCGGAAGCAGGAGCGCAAGCGGCGCTGGCACCATACGTATCCCACCATGTCGGAGCTCGCAGCGGCGGGGGCCTTGACGGATTCCACGCCGATCACTATTGTGGACGTGGGAGGTAACCGCGGTCATGATCTGGAGACCTTTGTCGAAAGCAACCCGGAATATCAGGGGCGGCTCATTCTGCAAGACCTGCCGGAGACTGTCGACCCAATCCGGGGAGAAACGCACAGCTTCGAGCCCATGCCGTATGACTTTTTCACACCGCAGCCAGTACAGGGGGCCACCATTTACCTTCTTCTGGCGGTCCTGCATAACTGGGATGATGATGCTTGTCGGGCCATCTTGAAGAACCTCGCGGCCGCCATGAAACCGGGCTACTCGCGCCTGCTCATCTCGGGCGTGCTGCTGCCTGAGGTTGGGGCCGAGCGTCGCCTGGCGGATCTGGACATGCAAATGTGGGTGCTCCAGCTCGCCCAGCAGCGGACGCGCAGTGAGCTGGAGGCCCTGGTGGGTGCCGTTGGGCTGGAGATTCGGAAGGTCTGGGATAACGGCGATCGGGAGTCGATCATCGAGGTGTACTTGCCTGAGAAGACAGACAGCTGGGCCATGTAATACATCTGCTTGATGCCAGGAAGTCCTGCAATACATACAGCTGGCACCGCACGTATCCGCTTCCGACAGAGACGTGTGTCAGACGACATCGGAGGTATAGGAGCGTGCTGCTCTGGCCACACAACAAATGCCGAGCCCCTTCGTTATGGAACCAATTGAAGACAACGATGATGACCACAACACAGATTTCTGGGATCAGTATAATACAGATCAATCGAGCATCCATGACGTCCCCAGGTAGAATCACCATGACCTTTCCTGCCGAGCAGGCTGGAGAGAGTCAGTATGGCGCGCAGCATCTGGCCTGCACGTAGTCCCCCTCTCAAGGCGTAGCCGAACTCCCATCTTCCCACCTGCATTTCCCATTCGGGTTGACTGAAGCCTGGGCTGTGTGGTAAGGGTCTTTGCAACAGGAGGAATCGTTGACAATGATCGTCGACTCGACGGCGGATAATCAGGGCTCCCAGCCGGTGCGGGCATTGTCGGCATCGATTGCTATGGCCCGTCAGTCCATTGACTCTTCCTCGAAGCCAATAGCTTCCTCGTTCCGCATTAATTCCTCACTCACCGGACAGGTTTCAACCCGCCTGGTGACCGCCTGTTCTTGAACAGACCCATCTCGTCCGGATTTTGGAACTGAATGCCGGCTGGCTCACCCGGGTTGAATGACCGACCGACCACACGGTCGCATCCCCCATTGCTTACTCGGTGCGACTGCTAAGCACGGCACGAGATTCACAAGATAACTCGGCATAAGGGGCCGGAGACCTACTGCCATAGACCGATAAAAGAGAGCGGGAGACGGTATTGGGATGGGATGGGAGCATCTGGCGGCAGGTGCCGCACCAGTTGTCGACGGCGGTCCCAGACAAAGGAAAGGGTCCACCGGGAACAGAGAACAGATGATAGAAAATTGATTAGAATGGCTATAGCAGCGACAAAAACAAGAAACACATTAACCCGACAGATGCTGCTTACTCCGTCCCAGTCTTCCAGTTCACGGAACTGTACCAGCCAGCTCATGCCGATTCATCTCCCCTAGCTCGTGGAGTGGAATTTGCCCGGACAATTCTTTGGGCCCCAGGTTGGATCGATATACTGTGGTGTGATGCATTTGAGACATGAAGGCTGGAGAGTTTTGCAGTTGGACCCGCTTTCTTCTTTCGTTATATCCATAGCCCAGCGAGGCCATGGCCAGCAGTCCCAGTGGGACGCCGACGCCCGCTCCTACCGCCGCTAGAGTCTCCCGGCTGACTTTGTCTCCATCGTTTGTGCTGTTGCTGCCGGTGGTGCTGTTGTTGGTATTCCCGCTGCTGGTATTTGCGCAATTGTCATTGCTGCTGCTGCTGCTATTACTGGTGGTATTGGTCGTGGTGATGGAAGAAGTGAGAGTGTATTTGGACAGGTAGGCCTTGCCGGCAATGGGCTGGCCAGTAGCGACCTGGATCGGAGAGACGCCATCCGCGCATCCGATGGAGCTGGTGCCATTGGAGATGATGGAATTGGGGCAGTAAAGGGCTTTCCCATTTACATCGCTGTAAAGGATGAGCGAGCATGCTGTCCCCCACGCGGTGGTAACTGAACCGTGGTCAGTCAGTGCATCGGATGGTAGAGGGGATTCCCAACCAGGAGGGCAGACGTACTTCCATGACAGACATCGTCGCAGACGGAGGTTTCGTTCCAACTCTGAGAGGTGCAGGCTCCCCGCCCGAGGACATAAGGTTGATGCATGGAGGTGCATAGGCCGTTAGACAGGCAGATGGAGTTTTCGTTGCAGCAAAAGGAGACCCCGTCATCGGAGCAGGGCGTGTAGTTGGTTGCTTCCGTGCCATCGGGGAAGTAGCAGGTGGTGCCGGCCACCAGGCGACCCCCGAGGGCCATCAGCAAGAAACAACCCAACCACGCGTCGATCACGCCCATGACTGTTCTTCACGTGTGCCGGTTGGATTGGATTTGGGTATATTTCCGGGCCAGCGGCTGGTGTCCCATGTGTCATCCGTTGGTTTTGGGTTGATTGAGAAGAAGGGGCGAGACGAGAGGCATTCCTTTTTGGCCGGGGGAAATGGGGTCTCAGTCTCTCACTCACATGATCGGCGAGGGACACGCTTGGACGCGCCTTCTTCCTTGGCCCTTACCTACTATGCGGGGTGGGGGCCGCCGCCAGTGGGGCCAAGACGCCATGGGATTGCGCCTTGAGTGATATGCAGAGTATCTAGACTGAGTGTAGACAGGAGACGACTCGGGAAGATGAGGGCACGAAGAGGCCCGGGCCCGGAAATGCCCCCGGTTGGTGGGGGCCGCCGCCATCAGCGCCGGACTGCCGATCTGACCAATCAGCAGCCACTTGGCGGGGGTTAGTGCTGACTGGTTGGACCTTGGCGTCCGCGGGGCTTCCCATTGGACCGTTTCCCATTCTTTGATCATGTGTCCATTTCTCTCCACCTGCAAGGTGGAGATTGAACATCCGACACCAGAATGGTGGACTGCAGTCCGGGGAAACTGAAAGGTGTACCTGAGGTGGCACGGGCACGTGCACCTGCTCCTCTGCCGTTGCATTGGCCCTCCCCAGTATACATAACACCGCAAATTCCGCTGCAGTACGAAGTACCCTGGTCAAATTGTGCATGCCAGGGAGCTACCGACCTATATTCTGATCTGTTAGATAGGTTAAGGCCCGGATCTGACGCAACAATGTAAAGTATGAGGTAGGAATAGATTGGCTGTGGATCACCCAACAGCAGAAAGACCTAGTGAATCTGGCATCTCTTTTTTTTTTTTTTAAAAAAAAAAAAAAGAAAAAGAAAAACAAAAAAAAGGTGTTACTCTTCCTATATGAAATGGTAATAGAATATAAGCAATCCTGTGTGATCCCATCAGAGCTTCCTGTATAATACACTGTATCTACCTGGTTGGACACCCTGTCGAGCCAAGGTTTCTGTTAAGGCTGAACACCTGTTATAATCCGACATTGGGATGGGAGCATGGTGATGAGACCACCATGATTTTGCTTTAATAATGGATCCCCTGCAAGTGCCCGGTTGGTGGTCTCTCATTATGAAAGAAGTCTTGGATCAATACACTGACACTTCTTGCATAATCATGTAGAGTCTCTCCCAAGGCCGCACCGGGGAAAGGCCATTTGTGATCTAATACGCTCGTGAATGTCCAGGCCTTAGCTTGCATTATAAATGCGCGCACATGTGCACTGAATATATTAGCTTATGAGTGGTATGAACAGAATTCTGCATGGTATGGGTTTATTGGGCCGATAGCTGACGACTGTGTCGAAGGGGGTGCCAACAATCCCAATATCAATCGGGATTGGCAAGGCAGTGGATATGGTCCAGATGGACAAAGGTGCTGATGTCTGAAAACACCCACTAGCAAATTTCAGGACTCATCGTCCAGTCGATCCTTTGCTTCGTATGCCTGGGTGAGTCTAACTTACATTCTTCCCCCACCGTTGCTTCAGCTCCTCTGCGCGGGCCGGCGATGCTTGGGTAGCGGCAACACCAACCAGACCAACAATGGGCCACCACCTAGTGCAAGGCATAATTGGACCAGGTGTTTGATATAATCGAACAATGTGTATGGTGCTTATTGGAGGAGGGGGAATCATGGCCTGAGAGTGGTTCATCCAATGGATTTACCGACCCGCCGGATGCAGCCCTAAGTGCGAATGCCGGGCCCGCCCGATGACGACCTTGCATGCATCCCGGCCGTCATAGATCGCCCCTCGACCAACCACCGGCCGGAGGGCCTCTGGGGCTTGCACTTAGCTGCTGCTGCACTGACCGGAGGCATTAACCCCCATTACAAATCCACCCACGCCTCCCCTTGTTTGATGTTGATCGCGGTTCACCCCCCTTGCCCTTGTTGATTCCCCGGCTTTCTTGTTCCTTTCCAGTCTTCTCAGTCTGCTCAGTTTGCTCAGTCTTTTTGTTAGTGTCAGGTTGCAATACTCCTTTATCACTCATTGCGAGATTGGCCCCACACCACGCGAGAATGGGTGACCCGTACTCGGCAGCAGAGTTGGAGCGGCTCGGTCGCATGAGACCAGCCATATTCCCAAGTTTGGCCTCAGAATTGGGTTTCTGTTTCTCACTCGTGCTTTCTCAAATTATGGCGGTAGGTTGAGCGTGTCCTGTCCACCTGCTCGCAGGCCCGTGATGGCCGTGGACTAACCCATACAGGAATACTTCATCTCCGGCTTCAATGTTCTACTCCCGTCCCTAGCAGAAGGGCTGGACATCCCCGAAGCCTCATCAAGCTGGCCATCCAGTGCTTTTGCCCTGACGGCTGGCGCGTCCCTGCTCTTTTTTGGCCGCCTCGCCGACCGATACGGCGGGTTTGTCGTGTTCGCAGGGGGGCTGGCCTGGCATCTCCTCTGGTCTCTCGTGGCTGGCTTCGCCAAGAACGCCCTCACGATGTATTTTTGCCGTGCGTTACAGGGGTTTGGCCCTGCTGCCTTTCTATCCGCGGGCATCATGCTCCTGGGCTCTACCTATCGCCCGGGCTGGCGCAAGAACCTGATTTTCAGCATCTATGGTGCCTGTGCACCCATCGGCTTTGTCGCCGGCATCTTCGTCTCCGGCATGACAGGAGAATTTCTCGACTGGCGGTGGTACTTCTGGATAGGGGCAATGCTTCTCTTTCTAGCCCTCGTCACGGTCGTCATCTCGGTCCCTACGAGTATCCGTCACAAGCCTCCGCATCCGGACATTGCGATGGACTGGGCCGGGGCCATCCTCTTCTTCTGTAGTCTCATCCTGATCTTTTTCGCCATCAACGAGTGTGGTCATGCGCCCGATGGCTGGCGCACGCCATACGTTTATATCACCTTGATCGTGGGCAGTTTGATCCTGATGGGTGCAATCTACATCGAGGGCTGGGTGGCCTCGGAGCCGCTGCTGCCTCTCAGTCTCTTCCGGATCCCACAGATGGCTTCCCTCTGCCTCGGGCTGTTCTGTTTCTACGGTGTGTTTGGAATCTGGCTGTTGTATTGCGTCGAGTACATGGAGAACATCATGCAGGCGTCGCCTCTGCTGGTGGTCGCCTACTTCGTACCATTTGCACTCGGGGGAATCTTCTTCAGTCTCTTAGGCGGACTGTTTCTGCATATCATCCCGGGAACGGTGCTGCTGGTGATCTCGGGAATCGGGTGGCTGATAGCGCCGCTGCTGTTTGCCATCATGCCCCATGATGCCGGATACTGGCCCTATGTCTTCCCGGCCATGATCTGCGGTACGCTGGGCATGGATGTCACCTATAACGTCACCAATGTTTTTGTGACCACCTGTTTGCCTGAAAGACAACAGGGACTGGCTGCAGCCGTTGCCAACAGTGTCCTATTTCTGGGAATCAGCTTCTGGCTGGGCTGGGGAGATTTCACTTCGGCCCAGGTGTCCGGAAGCTTGCGAGCGAGATACCAGGCGGCGCTCTGGTTGGCGGTTGCCCTGGCCGGGCTGGGGTTGATCATCATGGTGCTCTTTGTGAAGATCAAGCCTGCCAAGAGTGAGATCACCGTAGATGAAAAGGACTCAGGGGACAGTAGGGTGGTGCTGGACAAGGATGCAGACGTCAGAGATGACGAAAGGGCGGAGTCGTCCAGTTCCTAAGAGGGAGCAGGACTTGTTTTCATACATAGATATACCGTCTGCTGAGGGTACAGGAAGTAATATATTGAAAAAGCTGGAAGTCCGTTTTCCTTTCTATGTTCTTTCTTTTCATTGTTTCCCTTTATCCAAGAAACCATTGAAATAAAACAGTTAGATAAATATATACATCACTTGATCTACGTTTTCACTCGGCTTTCCACACATTTGATCTTGCACGATCTGAAAGAAAATATCAGAATAGAATCAGAAGTTCCCCTTTAGTCTTAATAAGAGCGAGACAGGAATATTTACCTGCAGAAATCGTAGAATATTGCCTCCGTTGATTAGGCTGTAATGCAATACCGTAAAGAACGAGCTGTCCCCGTGTGGCTGTATTGATCTTACCAACCTTCCCCTAACTGGCCACCTGAACCACGGGTATCGATCAATACCTATACATGCCCCCTTTACTGTATGGCTTCTACAAAGATTTCTATAAACCCCAACATCCAGCCGAACCTACGGGCCCATCGAATCCAACCACTGCCCCTGAATTGAAGCGGTGGATCCCCGGCGCGGCTCAAGGCTTAGCCACGAGCTAAGCCTTGGTTTAGTGTCATTCACCTCTCGGCCATGTGTTTTCCCCTCACGCACCCACCCCCTCCCAGCATGGTGTACTGCGGCAAGCCCTCCAAGGCCTGTGAGCCCTGTCGGATCCGACGCCTCAAAGTAAACCCCTCCCCCTCATATCATGTACCCACTAACCTGCCTGTCCAGTGCGACAAACGGCGCCCCGGATGTAGCCAGTGCCGCAATGCCGGTCGCGTGTGCAGCGGCTATCGCGCCGACATCGATGTCAACTTCCGAAACGTGACCGACGCCGTGGTGCTACGGTATAGCAGCCAGAATCCCTCAGAGTCAAGGCCCCCTGCCCATCCCCCTCGCCAGACCTGGATTCCCGCCCCCGAGGCGCAGCTGGTGGTGGACACGGCCCTCAACATCGCCGTCACCCGCTTCCGCTCGCAGAATACCGAGAGCATCCTGGCCGAATACGCCTTCCCTCTCCACGATCGATCCCAGTGCGCGCCCCTCCTCACGGCCTCGATGCAAGCCGTCAGCCTCGCCTGCCTCGCCAACGAGCAGAATCGCCCAGATTTACTGACTCCCGCGCGCGAAAAGTACGGCGTGGCCCTGCAACGCCTCGGGCGCGGGCTGCAGGCCTCGCTGCGGTCCACCGGCCCCGGCCAGCTCCCTTTCATCTTCTGCTCCGTCATGTTGCTGGCTCAATTTGCCGGACTCGTCTCTCGTTCCGGCGAAGGGCGCGTGGAATGGTCCCGCCACGTCAACGGCGCCTTCTCCCTACTTGTCACCCGCGTCCTGCAGGGGCCTTCCCTCCTCACCGTCCCTGGCCAGAGCCTGTACCTCCATCTAGTGAGCTGCCTTCTCCTGGACTGCATCCAACGGAGAACCACTTTTTCCCCGCAGATGCGAGCCATCCTATATGCCCGTCGATCTGAGGTTTCCGAGTTCCAACTCCGGTTCTGGGGCCTCATGGACCGCATGTGTATCCTGCGGGCCGTGGAACCTCCCCACGACCAATGCCATCCAGCCTCAAGCACATTTGACAACGCATGGGAAGATCTCGACCGGGAAGTCCTCCTCCTGATGCAGAACATGCCCCTCTCCTACTCCTACCAGTCCCCCCCACAGCCGAATCACCTGGCGAGGAATCCAAGCCCCGTGATCCTCCCTACGACGTCTACGCCACCTACCGTATTGCTCAGAACTGGAATACCCTGCGCATGGTGCGACTGTTTATCCAGGAACGTCTGCTGGACCAGACCTTGGCGCAGTTGGATGCCTCGACACCGGAGAAGGATGATCCACGACATGCCAAGGTGGAGGAATGCCGGGAGGTCATCGCCAGTGTTATTCAGGACATATGTGCGAGTGTACCCAGTCAGCTACGATATTCCGTTGGGGATAGGGAGAACACGGAGTCCTTTGCGAGCGGGTGGGTGTACTCGCTGGTGTGGCCGCTATCTCGTGCAGCTGCCTCGGTACATTGTCCGACGAGGTGGAAGGATTTTATTGATGGTCAGATGAGGATCTTGCAGGAAAGGATTGGGTTGGATATTACGGGGGCGCAGGCGGAAGAATGGTGAGTCGGCTTCATGCATTGCATGACTGATACTGACGAGACAGGGTTCATATGTTTTTCCTTTTTTGAGCACGGTTCTTGGAATCACCACCGGTAACAAATATGAAGGAGTGGGATCTGGGAAACAAGGTCGATTATAGACCATACTATCTAAACGCAAACAGTCTACAAATAGCATACATTGGTCGGAATGAAAGCTGCAGCCTACTCCTTTGCCAACAGCACCCGGAAAGCCGACAGCTCGGCCTCGATCACCGGCGCGCTGGCATTGCCCGCCCGCCAGAAGACGACCTCATTCAAAGCCACTCCCGCATAAGCGAGCGGGTCGATATTGGACACGCAGTAGTCCGCCCAGATGGAGGTCGCGTTTCCCCGAGTCTCGGTATCGCCACCATTGCCATTCATCACGTTGATCAACCGCCACACCTCTCCCACATTACCATCCGCCGCGACGCGTGTCTCAAACGTGGGTATAATCTGGAAATAAATGTTGTCGCCCGTACCGGCCTGGTTGGCGACCAGGGGCACAAGGGCAGCCAGCACGTCGGTGCCGTTGGACACCCACTCGGAAATATACAGCGATTGCTGCAAGGAGTGGCTCAGAGTGAGGGATGAGTTCAACCCGATGTCGGTGGCGACGTACGTGCCAGCATACGTCGCGTTGAGCTGCTTCTGGGCGATTGTTTCCGCGCCGACGACAATCGGATCCACCACCTCGTCGAGCAAATCGTTCAGTCCGGTCAGGTCGCCCGCCACGCCCATGAACAGGACGAGATCATACACCGGAAGAATGAAGCTATAGCTGTAGTAGCCCGTCAAACCACCACCTTTGGTGTTCATAGTGACGGTCCGGGTGCTATTGGGGAGGATGGCCGGGCTCCGGAAGATCTCCCAGGGATAACCGAGGTAGGAGTGCGAGCCGGACGAATAGGCCGCGGGCAGGAACCAGTTCAGAGCCGGAGTGATGCTGTTGGCGTGGACGAGAGCGTACCGAAGGAAGGTGATCATGTCATTGGCGCTGCTGTACAAGCCACCGGATCTGCATACGTTAGCTCGGCACTTCTCGTGATGGTCAGATGGACATACGGGTTTCCAGCTCCCAGATCCACCCCCCAGTAGCTATCCTCGATAGCAATGCCAGTGGCTGGCGGGGTGAATGCCGAGCCCGTCAGATTCAGGGGCTGCAGAATCGCCCTCTGGACGTACTGTTCGTACGTGGTATTACTAACGTTCGCCAGAACCAGACCGAGCAGATCAAACCCGACGTTACTGTACGAGGCTTCTCGTTTTGGAGGGAAAACGGGGGTTGCATCTTCCACCCAGTCTAGCAGGTCTGCGAACTATTAGCCATCACCAATCACCAATCACCAATCACCCAGGAAGGAAAGCAAACTCACCAGTAACCGAGCAAGCGGTCTCATAATCCGAGAACCCCTCACAAGTGGGCAACGCAGCCTTCTCTTCCGCAGTCACCGGAGGCAGACCCACCACAGTGGGATCCGACAGCGAGAGGACCAAATCATCCTCGGCATCTGATGACGTAGGTTAGCCAACTTCCCAGTCATGACCGGGTGAAAAGACATACAATTATCCGGAATCCCACTCAAATGAGCCAACAACGTCCGGAGGGTGATATTCTCCCACTGGATCTTATTACCGACGCCCCTTAGGGCCGGTACAAACTTCGTGATGCGATCATCCAGACTCAACCGTCCAGCTGCCTCCTCCTTGAGGATTCCGAGTGCAGTGAACAGCTTGGTATTGCTTGCGACACGGTACGCCGAGGATCCGTTCACAGGGTTGGCCGTATCCTGACCGGCGTGGTAGATAGCATGGAGAGGACCATCTCGGGAAGCGACCTGCACGGAGAAGGAGGTGTTGTTAAACACCCCGGCGGCGACAAGGGTCTGGATAGAGGCGTCGACCTGGTTGAACACGGTGGACAGCGAATCAGGGGTGTATTTGGGCGGGTGGAAGGGAATTTCGGGCTCGCAGGAGGCGAGGGCCTGGGTGGCGAGGGGGAGGAGGATGGATAGAGATTGGGTTAGACGCATCTTGCCTTAAAGACAGAATCAATGAATAAGAATAATGAAAGAATGAAAGAGAGACAAGTAAGGAATACTGTAAAGAGCGATGAATGAGCGATGTGATGATGACCAGAACTGGAGGATACGGACGGGCTTTATATCTCTGATCTTGCCGTGGATCATCACAACCATAATTTCACTGCCTGGAGCCTCCATCACCGATTCAGACAGCTCCTCGCCATATGATTCAGATGGATGATGGCAGGATGAGGGCTCAAACGATGGCCGGCGAACTGCACCCCCGATCGGGTTAGACTGGATTGTGGGGCAGGGCCTGGGCCTGGGCCTGGGCCTGGGGCAGAGGGGTTTCGGTCAGCTCCCAAATTACTGCACACTGGTACATGCCTTGATCACGTTACTGATTGTTAATAATAGTTTGGGTTGCTTGTTCGGGGTGGGTAAGGCGTAGCGACGAGTAGACTGTTAGCATGAGCTGACGCCTTAGGCAGAGATGATACCATAACATTGGAGGGGAAATGACACACGCACGTGGTGAGTTGATTGACTAGCTGCTATTGGCTGGTCCAGGGAACGAGCCCATTACGGAGTACACAAGCCTAAAGACTCGCAAGTGCAATCTCGATCATGAAAACAGACAGAAAAACATTCCTTTTATATTACATATTATATCTATATCTATCATAACCATCCACTACCCATCTGGTATCACTTCCCCTCCACCCAAAGCTTAAAATCCCGATTAAACGACTCAAACCCGGATCTAGTATTCTCATTCCACCCCGCCGCGTTGGCCATCAAATTCCCGCCCATCAGAAACCCCAACATGCCACTAAACCGTTCTTCATGGACTAATCTCGTCCGACCGGGCTGATTAGGTATCTCCTCGAACACGAACCGGTGCTCTCCCGTGAAGACGCCCGGGAGGGAGCCGATCCAACTAAATAATGAAGGGGTGTTCTGGCGAACAACCGGGGTGAAGGTCATTTTGCCGTAGCCGACGATGCAGGTGAGCTTATCGCCCGGTTGAAGGGTCGTGGGAGGTTTGTTGTCCGCGGGGACGATGGATCGGATGAAGCCGGTAGGGGTGTAGCTGGGGATGGAGGCGAAGTCGAGGAACTGTGAGGGAATCAATACAGGTAAGAAAGTGAGAGAAGGAGGGGAGATGTACCTTTGCTCGGACTGTGGAGGGGGGAGCGGCGATTTCAACGGTGGTGGTTATGGCGGGCATGGTCGTGATATGTGTTTATAAAATGGGTTGGAGAGGGAGAGAAGAGTGATTGTTATCTGAGATTAATGTGAGAAATATCATCACAGTCTCCTGGAGCTCAGCATGCTTTTATAGCTGAAGGCGCGCGCCGCATGACGATGCCTCATCGGGATCGTTGGAGCGGGTGCGGAATCCCGTGCCCGTCGGGCCCGATGGATCTATGGGCACTGCCTTCTCGGCAAGGCAGCCAGAAAATGACGTGTTCCAACAACTGCGAGAAAAAATCATATTGAGCTAAGGTGGTGTCAAGTGTAGAACGATGAAAGTGTTGGGACCTCCTACGCGACCCTGCATCGTCCACTGATCCCCATCTATTCCGTAAGGTGGTACTGACAGCGCGATCCCCACTTCGGCTTGGCATCCGAAGAACGGGATGAGTCACGTGAATGTTTTCTACCGGTCATGTGATGGCCTCGGCTCTTTCTCGGGTCCCTTCGACGATCACGTCATGGCTCCTCCTGGAGTGTCTCGACTGGTTATCCGGGCATCAGCAATCGTGGAATATTCTCGAGCCACATTGCCTTTTCCATTCTTTGCGTCTAATGTTGGATCTAGCTGTCTGATCGCCACCCCGACCGTGACAATATGGAAAGCGCAGCAGTGCAGGGAGCAAGAGGAATTGATGGACGGATGGGCGTATATATATTCCATCACCACCACATAGCCTCGACCCGTGAAAACGCACAGCCATTGATCCTGCACGGGAGAATCCCCCGCAACTGCTGAAATCACACAACAAGCGAGATCGATCCATGCACTTGGATGCGGAATTCGATCCTCCGCAGCGGAACCCTGGCCGGGATTCGATTTCCGAGTGGGGTTTTCATGCTCTCCCGTTCTCCGGCCGACTCAATGAAATCCACCTTGACCGAGTGCTCGGAATGTATCGTGGAAATGCCCACCAAACCCAGAAGCCATCGGTCTCTCCGGAAACATGTCACCACGGCATGCATCCCTTGTCGAGATGGGAAAGTCAAGGTATACTTCCCCTGGCTTTGACTGGACGCGACTGACGCTCAACAGTGTGGCGGCGGTACCCCAACCTGTAGGAACTGCGCAATCCGAGGCAAAACTTGTCGCTACCGGCAAGGTGACGATAAACGAAAAGTCCCTGTCCGCCAGGCCGTGGCTTTGCTCGCACGGAGGGTCGACAGCCTGGTGCACTACATCAGAGGCTGTGAGCTCCCAGTTCCCACCATGGGTGAGGAGGACCATCGCATCCTGAAGAACGTACTCGATGCATTGGAACTGCAATGTGAAGACGTGTCGTATTCGGAGAAATCCACCAGTATCGAAGGAAACCCCAAGCTTCCCAATAGCACCATCGTGCCAACAACTCCCATCTCATTGAACAGCGGCGCCCATAACTCCCATCCTTCAGAGGGTGAATCACTTGGGGAGACTGCGCCCAACTCCGTGCATCCACCAGAGCAATCGAGACCTACATGGGAAGACACCGTCGCCCAGGAGATTCCCGGCGATGGGGACTGGGATAGCGACGACGAAGTCACCGATCAGCTCTCCTGCCGACTCGGGCGGCTGCAAGTCACCCACGATGGTCAACTCCGATACTTTGGATCCACCTCGAATCTGACGCTGCTGGATGCTCTGGTGGATGTCACGCCGCCCGTGACCATTGCCCGCGACGCCCCTGAGCTGCTGGAGAGTGCTCAGCTCGACCATGATATCGATGAGGGGTTCGAAAGACATCTCTTAGAGCTCTTCTTCACGTGGCAGGATCCCAGTTTGCATATCATCGACGCAGAGAGCTTTTGGCGGGCTCGAGCGCAGAGTCAAGACGAGAGTCTCGCCACGCCCTACTACTCCCGGGCCCTGTCGGACGCCATGTGTGCCTTGGGCGCGGCTTATGAGCCTAAATATCATCCCGACTTTGTGACCTTTCCTCGGTCGTTGGCTGAATATTTCGGCGATCGGGCGAAGATTCTCGTCGAACTCGAACTGGACACCCCGTCGATAGCTACAATCCAAGCCCTGGTCTTACTCAGCACTCATGAGGCATCCTGTACTCGGGATACCCGTGGCTGGCTGTACAGCGGTGAGTCCCAGGACAACAATAGCACATAGCTCCAGCTAACTGACAGAAGGTATGGCAATGCGACTCACCCTGGACCTCGGTCTTCACCTGGAAATGGCTCCATACGTGGAAAAGGGTATCATCCCGCACCAGGACGCCGAGGTACGCCGCATGGTGTTTTGGGGAGTGTATCTTAACGAACAGTGAGTCCTTGTCCAAGTATCTTCGATCGTCACTCACTAGTCAGATTCTGGGGCTTTTACCTGGGCCGCTCTGCTCAAAGCCGCATGGACATCGTCACCGTGCAAAAGCCAGCTGCAAGGACATTATCCTTAACGTGCTGGAAGCCATATCCTGCCGTTGGTGCCACGTTGGCCCATATTCCATTCAGTTTACTGTGTCGCGAATGGCTCTCACTTTACGAAATCATGCTCCCTCTTACGGATGTCTTGTAGGTCTCCCTCTCATTTGAGCCCGAAGAAGCTAACAGGTGAAGATACGGTTGTTCTGAGATCTCGGTCCACGTCCTGCAGGAGCTTGCCGTAGTAACTGTGAATAAACTCGGACAATGGCGGATAGACCTTCCAGAGGAGTTAACAGCCGATGAAGTTTCCAGTCTCACTACTCCACTCCCACATGTCCTCACTCTTCAGTAAGCCAGCCTCACTTTCAACCATCCCAGCAAGTCTAACATACCTAGCATGCAATACCACCAATTCATGATACACTGCCACAAGCCCTACATCTCCCGACGATACATCCAGCCCCAACCCCCTCAAGGCCCCGGGTCCGGCCACGCTCGCAAAATGTGCATCGACTCCGCCGTTGCCATAGTCCAGCTTCTATTGCGGTACGAGCGAGCTTACGGCTTCGAAAAGTCCAACATCCAAATGGTCTCGTTCGTATTCTCGGCTGCCTTGATCCTCATATTCAACACTGTTCCCACGAAACCCATGTCTTCGGACCAGCAATTGGTCACCCATCTGAGTACATGCTTCCGCGCCCTCGACAAGATGGCCAGCTGTTTCGAGAATGCTAGACGCACGAGTGTTTTCCTGGGGATTTTAAGACGCCAATGGCAAGTGCGTAGACGGAGTCGCCGGGCACCGGGTGACCCGGGCCGGGAGAAGGGGTTCTCGGAATCGTCAGGGTGGAGGCGTGATGATGCGGCAATGTCCCCGACCTTTGACCAAGGTACGGTAGGTGGTTTGGGTTCTGGTATTGATGACTTGCTATGGTGCTATTCTGCACTTGGGGATGCCCACGCCTCGACAGTTGACTTTATGGGACCTAATCTCTGCAATATCCTCCTGAGTGAGGGAATCCCGAGGGCCTTTGTGTGATGTAAGCCAGAATCCTACATACATACCGATCCCCGTACTGATACCAACTGTTACTTTATAAAGGCAATGCCTAACTAGTTACAAGACTGGATAAAGTGACCAGCATTCCTCGGCGGGCATTTCTCGGAGCCGCAAAACCATGGTCTCGATGAGGCAAGACATCATCAGCAGATGTTGCATAAAGATCCATGTCAACACAGCGTACAATCTTGGACACGACCAAATACATCTCTGCCATTGTCATGCTTCCAACATGGGTTAGCAGTGATGAATAAGGATAAAGCTCGTCGAGATAGAATTCCCACTCACTGTTGACCTAAGCACTGTCTGCTTCCTTTATTGAAGATCATCATCATACTTTCGAGATTTTCCTGTCGCTGAGTAGCTTCGATCCAGCGATCAGGCGAGAATGTATGTGGATCAGGGAAAATCTGCGGATCCATGTGTACGAAATGAATGATTTGGCTTATGGGGGTCTATAACAAGTATTCAGTTTGCAACGCCTCGAGATATATAATTGTTCCAATAGAAGCGGACACTTACACCCTTTGGTATCATCCAGCCTTTGTAGTAAAGATTTTCATTGCGCGGGATCCGTGCAGTGCGCGCGAGAACCCCCAGAAAGGCGTAGTCCTTCGAAGATGACGGCCCTCTATGTGGGTGTGTCAACACATTCTCTCTATAGAGGCCATTAATCATTTGATATCCATACCAGAAACGGCAACGAGTTAAGGTCAGACAGTAACGGACAACTCGACGGTAGAGGCATCACAGATCTAAGCTCTTCGCGCAACCTGTAAAAAAACCTTTTTATCCTCAAGCAAACAAAACCTCGTCACGCTTAAAGCCGCAGCAGATGTCTCCGTACCAGCTCGAAGCAAGAAGCTCCCCTCATCGTGTATTCTTGTTCAACACCTTTCCTCTGCATGAACATCCACATTTGTGAATGCTTCTGACAAGATGTTTTTCGGCAGGTTGTTCTGATTAACTGCAGTCATCAAAAAGCGATGGATCTTCCATTCCAACGTGGCAAACTTTCTGGCTCGCGGGGACAGAGCCACAAGAATGATTGAAATGGCACGCGGCATCTCAAGGAATGGTACAAAGCGATTGATATGAGAAAATCTCTCGATTTCCTGCACCTGTTCCTGGACATCATTCTGGAAGTCATCACGACTAAGACAGCCGATACTGCTTCCACAAAGATGCGGCGTGATCACATCTGTAGTTAGAGCTGCAAACCCAGCGCTCAAGTTAAGCGGCTGGTATGATTTTGCATTGTTATTCAACGCGTCAACCAGCTTATTCGCGTTCTCATGCAGGGAATGTTGTGCTCGCCGGACGGAGTCTTTGGTGAAATACCTTTGAAAAATCCTGCGCCGCTTGGAATGGTGATAGTGATCTGTTGTTGAGATGATTGAAGTGGGAGATCCGAATATTCGAGTTGATGGCAAAAGTTTGTCTCGTGGGCGCGTTATCCCAGAGTAGATCTCACTGAAGAATGAAGGATCTTTGATGTGCAGCGCACTAGGGTTGATGCGCACAATGGGGCCTGGGAGAATTCGGGTCAGCCGCACGCTGGGATTTGCGGGGCATATGTCAGGGTTGTATACCGTATTTGAGATGCATTTTCTCAATTTGCCAGAGATACGACCCATCTTTGACCACATCAAAGTAGAATTCGTAGAGGCCGGAGATGGCAGCCACCTTCGGGCCGGGGAAGTTGTGGAGGGGATGGAAAAAAAGCCGGTAAATGACCAACAGAGCGAGAAGGAAAAAGACTCCGGAAAGGGACAGGGCCAACATGATTGGATGTGCAACGCCCTCTCACTGCTGGCCAAATTGGTGGATCCAACCGGAGATTTGATACCTGTTCTATTTATGTGGTTGCGGGGATGAATCATGGCTCCAAGGCCAGGATTGTAGGGTTCAGCATGATATCATTGGCATGGCTGCTTGCACTTGAGCGATAACGAAATTAATACTTGTTGGGGTGGCCTCCTGCCTTGCTTTGGATGCAGGGTGAAGGTCATGTGTGGCTGCACGGTTCCCTTTTCAGTCATTCTTGATGCCAGCATGAGACCTCCGAAAATCCATCAGGCCAACAAAGCCAACAAATCACTACCCTGGAACTTATTTTCACACACACCCGCCATTGACAAGTCATATAATGAATGGCATATAATGTTGTCAGCCCTTAGCACTTATCTCACACCAATACCCATGGTGGAAGTATCTGTAGATGCTCATTTCATCCGATTATCCGTATTCCCAAAGCGTCCTTCCTGTCACATAGCACCTAACAATGTACGTAATTATTGGATCGATCTGCTTGTCACCAAAAAAAAAAAAAAAAAAAAAAAGATAAGAACCGGTTTTCTTTGGCCACGGATCGACAACAGTCACCGAGAGGGTCAGTAATTGGTAGAGTACATCCGAAGAGATACTGCAGGCCATGGCAATCCCTCAAATCCAGTTTCTAAGCATCTTCTTCATGAATCGTCATGATGAATGAAGATAATCAATCTACCCAGCTGTAGCAAGCTGCGTGTAATCATAAATACCATCTCAAGCACAGTCACCGTTCTACTTCCTCTTCACCACACACACATACACTTCCAGCTCAGTTCATTCCTCATTCCAACCATGGCCGAACCGCTGAACTTCAAACCCTACACACTCTCCCCACTCGACCATATACTGATGCCAATGCATGCATACTGGTTTCTGTCCTATCACTTACAGGACCCTCGTGACGGGGCTGCCATACTCAACCAAGGCCTATCATCCTTGGTTTCTCAATGGCCAAACCTGGCAGGAAATATCACCAAATCCACCACCAACGCAGACAAATCCAACATCTTAGAAGTGCACCCTCCGAGCCAGGCCTATCTCGGCGAGGAGCTTCCCATGCTCATCACTCGCTACCATCCAGACAAACCCATTTCCCTCATCTCATCGTCCCCGGAGACGGTCTTCACCGAAGACTTCATCCCAGGTGACCCCAAAATCCCGACTTCGTACCCGACGTTTGCCCTCCGATTTCAAGCAAACATCATGAAAGACGGGATCATCCTGACCGTATGCTTTCACCACCAATTCGTCGATGGCTATGGAATTGTGGTGATTCTACAATCCCTCTCGCACTACTGTCAATTTCCAACACCAGCAACAGAAGCCCCTCTGATGTGTCCCCCGAGTGATGCATTCGGACGGGGCTGGATTGCTGCAAATTCCGCCTCGCGCCTTCAGAACATGCCCGATGAATACGGGAGTTCCGGTTATGCACATAACCCTAAGCCCAACTACCCCGGGGAACTATCTGTGAATCGAAAATACTCTCTGGACCCGGAGAAAATCACCGTGCTGAAGAATGCCTGCCTCTCCCTGCTCCCCGACCTTGTCGACAGTATCCAGAGTTCATCGGAAGCCATGGACCCCCTGACCACCGATGATATTGTCTCGGCACTGCTGTGGTTCTGTTGTATGCGAGCACGATTGGGGCCATCCCCGACCCGGAACAACACAGCCGATGGCTCATTGCCGAGCGTTTCATGCACGCGCATCGTCGAGTCTCGCCGTCTGCTGCATCCCACGTTGCTAAGGAACCACATTGGGAACTGTATCGCTCTGGCAAAGGCCGATTGCACCGCCCATGACTTGGAATCCGCCCCGACCGATTCAAAAGCCATCACCAAAGCCCACATCCTCACGCTTACCAAGCTCGCCTGGAAAAGTCGAACCGCATGCCGATCCATCACTCGCGAATACGTGCAAGGCATCATCAATCATGTTGCTGGGTGTTCAGACTGGAGTAGCTCGGTTATGCTTCCACCCGATGTTGCCATTACAAGCCTACGGAAGATGGATATCTACGGGTTTGATTTTGGATCCTTGCTAGGCAGGGTCGTCAGCATCGAGGTGTTGGAGAACCGGCTGGAAGGGTATTGCTATATTCTCCCGCGTCATCCGGCCGGTTCGCCTGCCATGAAAGAAGGGAAGTCGCTCTGGGAGGTACGGATTGCTTTGAAGAAGGAGGCGATCGATCGACTTGAGCACGATGAGCTGTTTTCATGGGTTAGGACATGCGACAGAGCTAGACTGTAGATCCTTGTGGGAGTATGATGGCTCTATAGACCGGGATGTCTGTCAAACGCATACGGGGATGGCATTTTATGTGTCGATGACAGGGGAGAACTGATTATGGAATACAGATGTTCAGAATATCTCCGGATCTATGTATACTATAATCCTTCCGGTATAATCAGCCAAGGTTGTTCCCTCATCTCGAACCTATCTGGTCCAATAACCCAGATATCCCCCACCCATCAAATCTTCCCCTCAACCTCCGCCTCCAACCTCGCCCCCAGCTGGGGATCAACACGCCTAAAGAGATCTACCCCAAGTCAGAATCCGCAGTAAGTCCCAAGCAAGGAGTGAAAGCTATACCATAAACCATCCCTCTCAGCTTCTTCCTCGTCACCTTCTGCACCGTCAGAGCCACATTCTCCACAAATCGATCCTGATGGCCCTCTTCCCGACCCAAAACCTTCCACAGGCCGGTGGCCTGCTCAAAGTCCACGTCCGATATTGTGGTAGTGAAACTGCTCACTTCTCCGATCCATTTCTCGTGCTCGGTGATGGTGCTCGACACTGGACCGTTGGAAGTGGTGGCGAAGGTAGTGGGACGAAGGGAAGAACCGATATAGTTGGGATCGTCACCGTAGTTATTAGTGAAGTTCATGAATCCGTCGCGCTGGTAGGGGCAGTAGACGGGGACGTGGGCCGCGTTGGTGGGGAGCATTTGGTAGTTGGTGCCGAGACGGTAACGGGCTGCGTCAGGGTAGGCGAACATGCGGGCTTGGAGCACTGTTTTTATTGATCAGTTGAGATAGATTGTGGAAGGACATAGGGTGCGTGTACTGGGATCAGCAGAGGGAGCAAAGCCTGGAACCATGTTGGAGGGGGAGAAGGCGGCTTGTTCGATGTCGGTAAAGTAGTTCCGGGGCTGGAGTGATTGATTAGTATGATATTTGAGGTGTATCTTGGAGAAGGGTAAGGAGGGGTCAGACATTGCGGTTCACGGTGAGTCGACCGATCTGGCGGAGGGGATAGTCCTGGTGAGGCCAGACTTTGGTCATGTCGAAGATGTTCCATTTGTAGGTCTCTGCATCCTTGGGGTCCATGACTTGGACGTAGACGTTCCACACGGGGTAGTTGCCACTCTCAATGGCGTCGTATAGGTCTTCTAAGAGGAAATCGGGGTTTTCGCCGGCGACTTTGGTGGCTTCTTCACGGGTGAAGTTCTTGATGCCTTGTTGGGTTTTGATGTGGATTTTGATGTACTTGAAGGATCCGTCCTGGGTATGACATGAGTAACACAAGTTGCCCGGCTGGAGGTTGCACATACCTCCTTGGTAAACTTGTAGGTGTGTCCACTGTAGGCGTTCATGTGGCGGAGGGAGGCGGGGGTGCCACGGTCACTGAAGAGGTGCATGATCTGGTGAATGCCCTCGGGGTTGGCGGTGTGGAAGCTGGGTCCATCAGTACAACCCTTGACACATACTTGAAACTCCACTCACTCCCAGAACTATCATAGTCAGCATGCTGCATCTCTGGATGGTTGCAAAAACTCACCATATTGGCATCCGGCCGGTGGGTGCGAGGATGCCGCTTGTGGGATCGATTCAGAGAGGGAAACTTGATCGGATCGCGAACGAAGAAGACAGGCTGCATACGTCAGTGACATTCCTTTTCTACACACTATGCTGTCAGCTAACCGTGTTGTTGAACACCCAGTCCAGATTCCCTTGATCCGTATATAGCTTCATTCCCCAGCCATGCACATCTCGTGTAGTATCGGCCGAGCCACTTTCAGGTCCGACGGTGGACACACGCAACAAAACATCCGTCTTCTTGCCCACGGTGTTGAGGAAACTGGCCGAAGTGATGTCGGTACAATCGTGGGTGCATTCGAACACTCCGTATGCTCTAGGACTGGTTAGTTCCGCAGGAGGCCACACTGGGCGATGCCTACCCGGCTGCTTTGGCGTGAACGGTCCTACATATTGTTAGAGAGGCAGGTGATATGATAGGGAGGGTCAGTACCGCTCCGGAATTCGCTCGCGAGAGAAGTGAGCCAACGTTTCAATCAGTTGAGTGTCCTGCAGTAGGACCAGTCCACCGCCAGAACCATTGCGAAGTTGCACCGAGGTGTCGTTGCGGGCATACGGACAGCCTGTACGCCGTCAGCTTGATTCCATCCATCCGCCTGTCTTGCCTACCCTCTGCCAAAGTATAGTGAGACATAGTTATCGTCGTGGCTGAGATAGTGCTCGATGGGATAAAGCAAACCCCCGGCCGAGCAGCCTTGCGGATGGCGTCTTTATAGGCCAGCTGCCACTCTGCCAGCCCGAGCTCGCCGGATTCGCCCAGTCCCTTCCTATCGCCTGCTATCTGACAGACGAATGAGGATGCGTGGATTACCCAGATCCAGCACGTTGACCAGGGCATGCTGGCCTAGAGTCTTAGCTCCCTGGCTAGGCTGACGGGGTCAGACTATCGTATCGGATTATCACTGACCTCATCAGCCCCGCGGTGGCTGCTTTCTCGGCGACCCCGCCCAGTGAGGGGGTGTTGCCGTGAGAGGCGTCATTTTCACCTTCTGAAATGGATGCAATATGCAGGTGTCGCCATGAGGGAGCAAGACTACAAGAGGGGCACCGGGCTGTGGGTCGAAGAAGGGCTTCGCGCCCTCTGATTGCCCTGCTACTATTCCCGTATCGGGAGATATGATCGATGCTCTGTGAGTGGAGGATTGCCGATGCTGGTGGATCCCCGATGATGCACGGGCATCTCGCTATCCATCTAATCTCAGCTGCACCTCGCTTGTCCACAATTCTATCGAGCTATCCCGTCCATGCTCAATACCTAAGCTTTAGCCCCGCATGTACTCCCCGTAAGTGGCCCAAGCCATCGCCTGTCGCGGGAGGTCTACCTCTAAATCCGAATGCCTGGCCAACGACATCACAGTCCGCTTCCACGCACCGATACTCTAACCCATCATCCGGTACAGGTAGAGGCATTTGAAGGCAGATTTGTGATGCAACCACCGGTCCAGGCCTGTTAACAGCGGCCTAACTACAATGCAACGCCACCTTCCCGTTCTCCTCACGGAGAAGCATCTCCGCTGGGTGTCTCCTGGCTGGAACTTTGTCGGCTGGAACATGACATGTCCCGCAGTCACAGAGAGGAGTCAAGGGAGCCAGGCAGCTGTCTGGAAGCGAACAAACAGGGGACGAAAGGTATAAAGAGCTTCGCAGCCCCGGCCATTATCTCCTATTATTCAGCATTCATTGACATCTAATCTCATTCCTCTTTCCATCCATCACCATGGTAAAGAACGGTGCACACTTTGACTTTGTCATCGTCGGCGGTGGCACGGCAGGCAACACTGTCGCCGGTCGTCTGGTGGAGAACCCCAATGTCACCATCCTGATCGTGGAGGCCGGCATTGGCAATCCTCAAGACATCCCCGAGATTACTACACCGTCATCGGCCATGGACCTCCGCAACAGCAAGTACGACTGGACGTACAAGATCACCATGGTCAAGCGGGATGACTATGAGCGTGTCGAGAAACTCAACACCCGCGGCAAGACCTTGGGCGGTAGTTCCTCGTTGAACTACTTCACATGGGTGCCGGGCTGCAAGCCGACCTTTGACATGTGGGAAGAATACGGCGGCAAGGAGTGGACCTGGGATCCCTTGCTCCCTTACCTTCGCAAGAGTGTCACCTACCATGATGACCCAGGCTTGTACTCATCCGACCTAGCCAAGATTGGCAGTGGTGGGCCTATTCACATCTCCCACGCTGAGCTCCTAGATGAGATGGCACCATTCCGAGAGGCCGTGACCAAGGCCTGGTTGTCTCGCGGACATGGGTTGACTGAAAACATTTATGACGGCACCATGATTGGCCTCACCCACTGCTGTGATACTATCTATAAGGGCACGCGGTCGGGAAGTTTTCTCTTCGTCCAGAACAAGCCCAACATCACCATTCTGCCCCAGGTGCACTCCAAGCATCTCATCATTAACGACGCTGACCGTACGTGCAAAGGTGTCACCGTGATCGATGCCGCGGGCCAGGAGCTCAGCTTCTATGCCGACCGTGAGGTGATCCTGTCTCAGGGTGTCTTTGAGACCCCGAAGCTAACTCATGCTAAGTGGCATTGGTCCCATTCGTGCTGCGGGTCAAAGACGGGTACGGCATGGAGGACCACCTGTTGCGCAAGGGCCCCAAGAATGATGCCGTGGTGGCTGCCTACCAGAAGGACCGGTCAGGACCAGTGGGGTCCGGACTCCTGGAGCTAGTGGGCTTTCCTCGCATCGATGACTATCTGGAAAAGGATGAGAAATACCGCCGGGCCAAGGCTGGGAATGGCGGCAAAGACCCGTTCTGTCCGGATGGTCAGCCGCATTTTGAATTGGATTTCGTGTGCATGTTCGGCAGTGCCTTTCAATGGCACTATCCCACACCCGAGACGGGCAATTACATCACCATCGTGGTCGACCTGGTGCGTCCTGTTTCGGAGCCTGGTGAGGTGACGCTGAATAGCTCTGATCCGCTGGTGCAGCCGAACATTAACCTCAACTTCTTTGCCAATGATCTGGACATCATCGCCATGCGGGAAGGCATTCGGTTTACCTACGATGTGCTCACCAAGGGCGACGGTTTCAAATATTTAGTGGAATGTGAGTACCCGTGGGAGATGCCCCTTCATTCAGATTCTGAGATGCGCCGCGCTGTCTTGGACCGCTGCCAGACGGCCTTTCACCCCTGCGGTACGGCGCGGTTATCGAAGAGCATTGAGCAGGGAGTGGTCGATCCCCAGCTCCGCGTACACGGCATCAAGCAGTTGCGGGTGGCCGATGCGTCGGTGGTTCCGGTGATTCCGGACTGCCGGATCCAGAACTCGATCTATATGGTGGGGGAGAATTGTGCAGACATGATCAAGGCGGCTCACCAGGATCTGTATCAGTAGGTGCATGCTCTTGATACCAATTCATGAACTAGCCATGTGATGTACATAGTAATCCACAGAAATATGCATGCTTCGAATGATGCTTGTTTTCTTTTGATAGCTATAGTAGAAACGGATGTATGGCCATCTTCGCAGGCGCTGTCGCGTTGGGATAGCGGGTGATGACGTTGTCACTGCTGTGAAACACGACGATCGTAGCCTTATTGGGACAGACCAGATCCGAGATACGAGTCAACTGCTGGGGATGAAATGTGTGTGAATGTCACGGACGGCATCAGAAATAGTAGTAGTAGTAGTAGTAGTAGTAGTAGTAGTAGTAGTAGTAGTAGTAGTAGTAGTAGAATTTATAGACCTGATATAGCCGGCTATATTAATAGCCTTGTTGTGCGGGTGTTCTCTAAGCTCTAGAGAGACTATTTATACATATATAAAATATTAAAATATTATAAAATATGGTGTTGACTTTGCTGGATCTCCGAATCCTGTCATATATTTTTTGCTGCATACCTGTTTCTTAATTATGTAGCTATTTATATCTTACTATCTGTCTCTATTTAGATTATTATTATTATATTATCATGGTTAAGATATTATATTGAAAAGCTTAATCTATTTATATTATAAAACTTATTAAAAAATATATTCTGTTTTGTTTTCCTGATCTTCTAAGTCTCTGTTAAAGCTGTATCTAGTTTTATTTAATATTTCTTCTATTTAGTTCCTGCATGGTGTAATATTTATTTAGATCTTATCCAGCTCTGTTTAAATTACTGTAGATTTTTCTTGTAACTGTATATATTATAATCTTTAGTCTAGAATGATTTCTAATTATTGTCTGTATAATCTATATATTTATTATCTTTTTTTACTGTCTTACTTAATTTTTAGTAATTAGCGGGTGTCAAGGTGCGGGCTGGCGAGATGGTAAGATAGAAGACTCAGGCAGGCAGGTTCAATTAAAGTAACTCATATTTAGATACATGATTAATCAAGCTATATACAAGTTGATAGATAAGATATAACTTGAGACTATAAATAGAATTGTAAAGACAAAAGACTTTTTAACAGTGTGTGAAGTTATCTATGAAGTCTTAATAAGAATATTCTCTAATTATATTATGTTGGGATCCCCGATGGGCTCCCACGCCGGTAGGCAACGTAGGGTCACGTGAGACTCCTTCCTACACCGCTAGTTAGTCCATATAGATGGCCTACGAGGCCCCTAGCTAGATCATCATCCATCTTATTCTACACGGTTGAATCGCCTTAGTAGCCACTCCAACATAATATATTATTATTTATTAACTACAGAAAAAGAAAAATATCCTGAAAAACTCTCCTTTAACTAATAAAATAATATAGAAAGGGTCTTTATAGATAACTATAGTAGTTAGTAACCTTGTCTAAAAAAATAATATATCTGAATTTATAAAAAGAGAAGTAACAGTAATATAAAAATATATGAAAAAAAGAGAAAAAATAGTTTTAGGAATATTGGAAGAGATATTAACAGGGATAGTAACAGCAGTAATAATAAGATTAGTAATAGGATTAATAATAATATTATTTTTATATATATCATTTTTGTAGTCAGCTTTTTATTAGTAGTAAAATATATTCTAGAAAGTAATGAATACTGCTGCAAGCTTAATCTAGTATAAAATATTACTAAGTCTTATTCAAGAATAATAATATATCTTTATAGCTGTGTCCACGAGTAGAAGATACTTAGTAAAGATCCATTACTTTTATTAATAATTATACAGAAATTTAGACAGGATATAACTTACTAGCTTACAGGGATAGTATACTTCTGAACAGTATATATACTTGTAATAATTAAGATAGTAGTAATCAAATTACTTATTACAGGTCTTACTAAGATGTAAGATATACTAGTAATACTGGAGATTATCTCTCTAATATATATTATTAATATTATAATAATTATTGGCTTCAGGTACGCGGGTGGTATATACCTAAGATACTTAATTAATAATAATTATTTAAATAGCAGGAAGAGTAGTAATAGTAGTATGATAGGCTATATAGCGGGTGCGGGTAGTATAGAAGATGTAGAAAAAATAAGATATTAATTAAAATCTTGAATAATTTCTTAATAAATTATAATAAAATGTATTTTAACACACCCACGCGCTATCAGAAAGAGGAGAAAATAATAACTTGATAAATAAGATATCTAATAGAGAAAAAGCAGAAGAAGAACCGCGTGGATAATAGGGGAATAAGAGCTTTTATACTTATAGTAAAATAAAGCTATTTACAAGTAAGAATAATTTCTTTATTTAATTTCTTTATTTATTTATTATTAATAATATTACTACAAGCGAGCCGGAGGAGCGGAGTCTATTGTTACGGACCCCTGCTAGCTGAACGACTAGTGAGGCGGACACGTCTGTCAAACCCTAGGATCGCTTCTCCCTGTTCCTGTTAGCTTAGCTCCCGTTTCCGATGCGTACCTTGTGAACTGAATCAAAGATAGTCAGGCTGTTGACTATCTAAAGATGACTTGATCTGAACAAGAGAAGAGAAGTAAGGCCAGATAGTGCCGCGCAGCTATCCGTAAGTAAGTACGGACGAGTGTTGTCGCTAAGCTTTATCAAAACGTATGGTTACTTAAAGACAATTTGAATTGAGCATGAAGAACAGAACTAACTAAGTATATGAAAGAGTGTCCTTATATATCTGTCCTTTATATACTATTCCGTATACCATCCTGTATACTGTAAGCATATACCATATACCTGACTATATACCCTCTCGTATACCCGCAGTCACGTGACGTGTGACACGTAGCGGCTCAGTTCAGGTCCTGCCTGATGAGAGTTGCGTTTCTCCGAGTACAGCTCTTCTGCCTGATGTAACCGCCTTACTAGTCCCTTTAGCTAGCAGGGGTCCGTAACACCACTTCCCTCCCTTCAAGGTTCTTGTCCCTAAGAACATAAAGATGGGTGCCCCCCCATGTGCACGTTGGCTGGGTCCTTCAGTTCTTTTCTTTCCAGGATGGGTCATCATGCCTAAACGCGACAAGTACGCTGACAACAAACGTTTAGCTGATAGGATCGAAAATTCTGGTCATCCTGTTGACACTCCTTGTGCCTTTTGCTTTTCTCAGGGCAAGGTCTGTATCATGAGTTCGTCTGCTTGAAGCAAGAAATATTTGGCTTGTGCCTTGCGCGATCGTAAGTACGAAAAACAGTTCTATAGTGATCAAGAGTGGGATGAGCTCAAGCAAAATGAGTGAAAAGTTACGGCCGATCTTGCAGTGGCTTAATAACAATTTTTACAATATTCTGAAAAGATGAATCAAGTGATGGCGAAGATCATCTGCTTGCAAAAGCATCAACAATTTCTAAAGAATTATGATAATCAGATGTTAGATCACGACTCGAATGTGTTGGAACAGCTGGATAATAAAGATCCTCCAAGCACCGAGGATTTCCGAGAGCTAGAGCGTCTGGCCGACGAACATGACACTGCTCAGCTTGCCACTGTATCAGACAATCCTAGTCTGACTCAGTTGGTTGGTTCCCCTTCATTCTGGGCGAACTTCGACCTGTCTGTTAGTAATACTGCTCCACAAGCTGGTAACAGCCTATCAAATTCTTAATAAGTTCCCATGTATTTTCTGAGATATCATATCCTTCCTATTTTACTAGATACTGTAATCTGTCACTAATCTTCTTATAGTCTAGGATCTTTTTAACTTTATATTCTTATTCTGTATCGTTGTCAATCTCCATATTCTCTGTGATTCTAGCGTTCTTTAGTACAGGTTCTAATAATAAGATATAAAACACTGAGTAAATTCTGTTCATTGATTTTGACAATCTTAACTTATAGTTAACCGGTCTCTTCTTATCTTTGATGATAAATAATCCTAGCTTATGATAGTCAAGCTTCTGATTTAGTTGTTTTATCTTGATGTTTCTACGGAGTAGAAACACCTTCTCCCTTCTTTTAAGATCAGGTTCCCTTCTGTATCTGTGATTATAGTATATCTTATTATATAAGTTTATAAACTCAATGTCTTAGGATAACTGTAAATACATGTTTCTCATAAATATGATAATATTCTCAGCTATATTAGTAACTTATTACTTTCTTAATAACATTTCCAGAAATCTCAGGTAATATTTGTAATTAATATAGAACAGTGAGACTTTAATGATTAAATAATTAATATTATTATATAAGAACTATACTATCAGTAACAGATTTATCTAATCATCTTACTAGTAGTTTACATAATACCTCAGATATTGCTCAATTACCTGATTAACTCTTTCCATTTGCCCATTCATCTGCGGTGTTACAGACCCCTGCTAGCTGAACGAACTAGTAAGGCGGATACGTTAGGCAGAAGGCCAACGTCCGGAAGGCAAGGACTCTTATCGAGTAGAATCCCGATCTGAGCAACCTACAAACCGGGACGGTTATACAACACGTGACCACGACGGACATGTCACCGACATGCTATAACATGGCAGCGCTACGACAGGACATGGCAGCGCTACAACAAAACATATCGGCAACATGACATATCATGGCGATGCCATGACGAGGGATAGGATATAAGGACACTCTTTCATGTACTTAGTTAGTTCTGTTCTTCGTGCTCAATTCCAACTGTCTTTAAGTAACCTACGTTTTGATAGAGCTTAGTAACAACACTTGTCCGTACTTACTTACAGATAGCTGCGCGGCACTATCTGGCCTTACTTCTCTTCTTCTGTTCAGATCAAGTCACCTTTAGATAGTCAACAGCCTGACTACCTTTGATTCAGTTCACAAGGTACGTATCAGAACGGGAGCTAAGCTAACAGGAACAGGGAGAAGCGATCCTAGGATTTGATATATTGAGCACCAGTCAGTACGAGTATTATTTAATAATAATTAATCATTATATTAACTATATTAAATACATCACGTGCGTCTCAGCAGCAGGGCCCAATAACTAAGGAACTGATAGACATGGT